CGAATGCAGAAATCCAAGCACATGAATCTCCAGAGCCTGCAGACAAGAATCCCTTGGATTCCGATGGCTTCACTTGCCGGCGAGTACTGGATCAGAAGCGCTTTGTGGAACGCATCCCTGGGCTAGGTACAGGCAGGAAAGCGCGAATCCAATTTGTCCCGCAAGGGGACCTGCATGGTAATTGATTCCACTGTGTATGTATGTGAGTGTATGCATGCGTGTTTGGCTGTAGGTAGGTATGTATTTGTGTAAGAGTAAATCCAAACTATGTACGTTGTTTTTTTTCTGTCGATCTGTCTGTGAGTACATCTGATGTTTGCAATACTCTCCTCTCAATGTTCGGTGTTCCAAGCCGTAAGTACGATTGTTGATGGGCATCCCGGAACCTAAGCCAACAAAAAGCCCACAAAAGCCTCACTGTACCTATCTGAGCGGCCCAGAGTTAGCACAGTATGCGGCAAAGGCGAGTACGCTGCCTTACCTCAGGGTCTCCTATTCCCTGGATATAGGAGGCAAAGAATTGCATTTAGTTTCCGGATGTTGGCATCGCATCATTGCTCGGCTAGCGGCTCTTCTTTCCCCTAAATATCTTTTCATCCAACTGCTTCTATTCCAGCACTCACTGTGCGGACAGCAGAAACAAGTAGTGGAGCGTGAGAATGGCCCTATAATCGGGGCTGCAGTCTTTGCACTATGGGCTTTCAAAGCCCTCGCGGATGGTGATCATGGAGCACGGAGCAAGTAAAGACTCGACAAAGCTACGAATGTACCGAGTCTTTCATGCCGAGAGATGCAGAGACTCTAGGTTCATGACCCCTCAAAGAGCACAGCCGAATGCTTCTCCTAGTCACCTTCTTCCGAAGATTTCTGTAGCGCAAGCCGCTCCGTCCGGCTGTGGCTTGCAGTACAGGTTCAAGCGCCGAAACGAGGAGCCAAAGCACACAAGCATAGCCATAATCATGAGGACCTCCATGTGCGGATATCTTTGTAATGGGTGTTGGCGGCATGCCTTCGCTGGAGCCCAACACGCCTCAAGGCATGTGCCTTTGATGGCACTTTAGACAGCGCCAGGTGCATGAAGTGAATTGAGCACCCGGGATCCATGCAGCGACAACTTCTTGCCATGTACACCTCCATCAGTCTCTGCTCAAGGAAACTTCTGTGGTATATAGGAGGTGTGACCTTATGTAAGGGTCCTTATCCTCAAGATCCTAGTCTGTCGCGTCTATGCCAGGGGACACTCCCAGTCTACGGCATGGTTGAAGGTTTCAGATCGCTAGACTCCCTAACCTAGATCCCCAATACCCAACCTTTAAACTTTTTGGGTTCGTACATTCTAGTAGGAATCGGAAAGTTTAAACTTTTATTTCTATGGTTTATTGGGGGAGTAAGCTAAAGCGCTGAACCCTAAACCCTAAACGCAGAAGCCTTGCGAGAATCGACCTCAATCCACTTTTCACACAGACTCTGCACCTAAGAACCTCGCCTGGCTGTGTCCGAGTTGTGAGAGCGTAAACGCAGAAACCTCGGCCTGCCTCCATGCATATTATAGTTTAGTATTATAGGTTGTTATTCGTATAATCTGAATATAGTGGTAAGCTTTAGTATTCTACGGTATATTGTAGTATATTCTGGTATATCATGTGAGGAACGCTGCACTGGGTGGTGTGTTCTCTAGCGCCATGGACATATGCAAGGACAAATCTGTTCTCCACACTGGAAGGAGGAATTCTAGCCCGTCTACTCGGTCGGGCACTACCACGACATGAGACGAAGGGTTGTCCATTGACGGTGTTGCAGTGGCCTACTAGTAACTAGTCTCTCCGCGAGATCTCGGCGAGCGTGGGCAAGTTGTGTTGTTTGTGAAGTCTGTACATGTCTGCTGTGTTTCGTCATTCGTTTTCCGAGTGTTGTGCTTCTCGGTCAAGGGACAGAACGAGGGAGCCTGGCTTACTTGCGGCCATCTCATTACACAAAATCGGGCACAACAACCAACTCCCGAGGAACCGTGTAGGTTGTGAACTGTACCTATGTACATTCACGATTCACTATCCTGATGCTGAGAAGGAACTCGAGCGGGCAGTGTCATGCCTTCGTTCTGATTGCAAGACATGTCTTGTATTGGCATTGCAGGTTGTGTGACGAGTCTGCTGTTGCTGCTCTGGCTGCTCTCTAGAATCCAACATGTCGCCCTCACTGTCGCAGCTCTAGTTGCCGCCCCGGCTGCCGTGATGTTTGCCAATGCGATGCAAATTCCTCCTTCACTCAAGCGTAGCTTGGCTGTTCCGTTCTACGCGCGAGTAAAAGATGCTGATGGCATCGAGGAGCGACCGCGTTCTCGTTGCTACGCAGTGCGGATTGGCATCTTGAGAAGGTCGTAGAAGCCTTTGTCGCACAGTATTTCTGTGCAGACGTGGGGTCAGACTAGCCTTATGTTCGACAGGTCACTGGAGTGCCAGACCCCCCGCAGTCGTGGAACAAAGGTCGAGGCCTGAAGCTCTGAAGATATCAGGCGCCTTTTGTTGGAGGCAGTATCTGCTCGCACTGTACTAAGCTGCATCAGTTCATGGCGTTTGAGTAAGCTAGCAATGGTGGATTTCCCGCTAGGCACTCAGACAGTGGCCTGCGCACGTCACTAGCTGCAGACAGAGTGCCCGAGAGCTGCTGAAGCCCACGTGCCATTGCTTCCCATGATCTGTGTCTGCAATCTCAACCCGGCTCTCTGCCTACTACGGGCCGGGAACACCAAAATGTTGCAACGGGCCTTCATCGCACACCTCTTGGGCACTCTGCTCAGCACCCTTTTCGGTCTGACCTGATGAAGCCATGGTCGGCAGTGTTCTTCGCACAAAATGCTCATCATTGCTCAACTATCAGCCGAGAAGCGAAACTCGCCAAGTTCAGCCTAGCTGCGGAAAGGGAAGTTTGCTTTCCCTGGGACCCACGTAAGCTTATGAGCGCAACATTATCTTCCAATTTCAAGATGGTTGGAGCATGCTCGTACTGTCTCAGCCTTGACTCCACCCGTATGCTAGTTGTGCGCGAACCTGCAAAAGTCAATGTCAAGGTGGCGGGCCTTCGGGCGTTTTAATGTCTCAACCTGGTCCGAACGTACCAATTTGATATGTTTCTGTTGTGGAGTGTGCAGGTGTTTGGCGTATTGATAGGTCCAGGGTAGACACGAGTTTGAAAAAGACACTGGAGACGATCGCGCCTGTTGAAAGCTGCGTGCTACTAATCAGTGATGACACGTCGACGATAATTTGCCATTGCAGTATGTGGACATATATCAATGTCATGCCCATGCAGATATCGGATGAAGCATTGCAGGTGCACGCAGCTTCTAACGGAGCTCACATTCTAGATTGAACGGAAAGCCGAGAAGTGGTCCGCTGAGCAGGAAAATCTGGTGAACGTGTCTGTCCCATCGTCGAGGGATTGCATTCGGCACCAAGTCGGAAGGCTGATGGTTTCGCCGATTCATCTGCATGGTTGTAGCATTAGACCTTTTCGCAGCAGTGGTGGGTAGTAGGGCCAGAACGAATATTAATATTAAGTCGTTCAAGCGGACGGGGATGCTGTTGTCATAGTCGGCGTGGCATGTGTCGTGGTCCCGTGCCGCTGGTCTGGTAAACTGCACCGAAGCCGCAATATTCGTAGTGGAAGTGGCAGAAGTAGTAGTCGTCGCCGTAGTCGCAGTCGCCGTCGTAGTAGTCGCAGTAGCAGTGCAGTAGCAGTAGCAGCTGTACCAGTAGTATAGTAAAAGTGGTAGTAGCAGTGCAATAGCAGTAGCAGCAGCACTAGTAGTATAGTAGTAGCAGCAGCAGCAGTAAGCAGCAGTAGCAGTAGCAGTAGCAGTAGCAGTAGCAGTAGCAGTAGCAGTAGCAGTAGCAGTAGCAGTAGCAGTAGCAGTAGCAGTAGCAGTAGCAGTAGCAGTAGTAGTAGTAGTAGTAGTAGTAGTAGTAGTAGTAGTAGTAGTAGTAGTAGTAGTAGTAGTAGTAGTAGTAGTAGTAGTAGTAGTGGTAGTAGTAGTAGTAGAGGCCGAGGCCTGGTCGTTGTAGGGGCGGGGATGGAACCAGGAATGGCGGTGCAGCAGTATCGGCTCTCATGGGACTAACTAACTACTTGTCGTCGTGGTTGTAGTAGGCGTGGCCAAGGAGCGCTTGAAGCAAAGGAATCGTCCTTTTTTATGGAGGGAACATGAGGGAACAGCACCGCGAAGCAAAGTGGTCTCAATAAGAACAAGCGACCCGAGGCATGGAAGCTTCGCAAGCTCCACGTTGGAATCCCGAGGCCTGATTTTGAGCAGTCGCGGGCTTTCAGCAATATTGACGTGACGTGCAGCGACGTGACGTGCGGCGATGTTCTGCTGCGAACGACAGCTGGCCTGCCTATGATATGCTGTTAAGTATACGAGTCTTCAAAAATTGCGAGCAAGTTACGAGAGTTTGGCCATTTCCGCAGTAGGCTGCAACGGTCACAGGCTTCAAGTTGTTATCCCCGCTTGTTTTAACTCTCCTCATTCCCATTGCCCGGCTCCTAACCGCAGACAGCGATCGCCCTTGATCCCACTTCTAGCTCTGAGCTTTTGGGCTCCGTCGGTTGCAGTTGCAGTTCTAGCCGGGCCTTTTCTTGGTAAAGGTCGCGGATGACCAAGCCGTGTGTAGAAGGCATGGATGAAGCAGTCGCGGCAGTGGTACTCTCGCTTTTGCTTGGCTCAAGGTGGCTACCCGACCCCTCCAGAAGTGTCATGAACAGCCAAACCTAAGACACCTCGGGGCTCTTGGGAGTTAAAGCAGGGTAGAAGACCTTGCCAAGCATGATGAAGCGAAGCTAATCAACCCGCAGCCCAGTGCGCACTCAGCCCACTCACCACGCGTACCCCACACATGCAGCACCAGCCCGGTCAACGTGCAAGTGCCAACCCCTGCTACAAACAAGATTCGGAAGTTTACCAGCAGCGTCCTAGCATGCCTGGCGACGCTGTGTGTTAATGGTTCATGACTTCCAACGACGCCGAAGTGTCCTTGGAGCCTAAGACGTAACGATTCCCATGTGTGCATGCCTACTTTTGCAATGTGACTTGCCTTGTGATGTGGGAGTTTCCCAAAACTAGGGGACCCTAATATAGCACCCTGAATAGTATGATCCTTTTTGTAAGGACCCCCAAATAAGGTGCCCCCAGTTTTCGGAAACTCCCATGTGCATTCTGATACTCATGGTGACTGGAACTCTGGTTGGATGTCGTACTTTAGGGCTTAGGGATTTAGGGTTTAGGGGCATTATCGTTGCCGTCGTCGTAGTTGTCATTCTAAACTAGAAGTAGCAATCCTTGTAGTGCTTGTCGCAGCAGTAGTACACTAGCGGCAATGGTGGCAGCACTCAGTAGCGGTGTCGAGCACCCCGTTTTTGGCCGAGGAACTCCATCATGTCTTTGGCTCATTATGCGGCTCCTCTCTCAGAGAGGCACTTCTTCAAGCTGTCAGATGGGACGTCCTGAGTGTGAAGGTTCGTGTACTCATGAGTTCTGGATCTCGTTTCGTTTCCGGCATCATGTGTTCCGTTTTAGGAAGTTGGTTGACAGGAAAGAAGCTGCTGCTTTCGAGATGCGTGCAGATTGTTGAATTTCGGTGGATGGACATTTGCCTCATGAACTCGGGGTGAACAAGTTTGTCAGTTTGCGTGCTGTTGAGAAGTTTGGTTCGGAATGCCCTTGGCAACCGATCACCCGGCGTGTTGCCGAACTGAAGCCTGCAGATGACGCGATTTCCGTCAGAAGCTAAGAAGCAGGATGTTGCCTGTCTCTTGTCGCAACAAGGTCTCTGATTTAGACCTTGTGTATAACCTCGGATCCAACACTGATATACCGACATGTGTTATATGCGTGAAGTAATCTAATACAGACGAAGTGAAGGAGAAACTGGGACCGGTAAACTCGACAATAGAACCGTTATCCAGTTCGACAGTTGCTCCATGATGTGCCACGGGGTCCGCTGAGCCTGAGGTAGTGAGGTCCTGAACCCTAAACCCTCCATCGCTGTGGTTCGTCCGAGAGTGAGTGCTGAAACCCTCCATCCTTGTTTTAGGCGGCCGTCTTCGCAGATAGCGCCGGTCAGCAGATAGCCTTTGCTGTGGGTCGGCAGCTGGCTGTGCGACATGTGGCCTGTCGCACGAAGTGCCGTCTTCGGCTCGGGGTCCTCTAAACAAAGGGGCCTGAATAGTTAGAATAGAGTGTTGGGGCCCGTTATACTATAAGTATACATAGGAACCCCCCCCCTCCAAAAAAAAAAAAAAAAAAAATATATATATATATATATATTGGCAATTATTGAGGCACCTATAGTAGGTGTTACTAGATCTTGAAGATGCCGGAGCAAACTCCGCCAGGAGTGACTAGTCATGGGCCATGCTAATGAGAAGGGTGACCCTGAGAAATACTTGGTTACTACTGCATGCCAGGTCGAAAACAACGAGACTAACTTCCTGGGAACGGGCTCGAGGACTGTCTGCAAAGGTCATACCTGGGGAGTTTTCCTCGTCAAGACCCGACTAAAACAGGTTTGGTACATAGGTTGTGCTTCTTTATATGAAACCATGGCAAGTTGCGACATAGCCATGATGTCAATGAGCGGAATGCTGCTGTTTCAGAAGCTAACAGTCCCGTGTTCTTTTTTTTGGAGGGGGGGTTGTAAGATCCGAGCATGTGTGGCATTCAACAGCCACCTGGAAGGTGTTTATCGTATTGCCCGAGACGCTAGCTGAATGGGGCTAAAGGTAAGGAAGGTTCAGGGTTTAGGGTTTCGGGTTCAGGGGGCTGGACTTGAGTCCATATTCACGCACATGGACACGTACATGTCGGTTTATCAGCACATGTAGTAATATGCGTCCCGGTTTCGGCAGCAAGCAGCAAGCCCCTTAACCCGAAATCCACTGGCACAACCTATGCAAATACTGCAAGTCATCTCTTATGCATTGCATTGAAGTCCACGGCAGCATTCCCAAATCGCCAATCCTCACCTTAGAGCATGGACAAAGCAGTCTCTATTCGCCGTGGACTAGTTTTCCAGTGTCGTCGCTGTGGGCTCCGGATGGGCACCAGCTCCAGTCTTGAAATAATATGGGGGGGGGGGGGGCCTAAATAAGTACCGATACTATTTTGATGGGTTCCTTATGATATTTGTGTATATATTGGGCCCAAAACCGTATTCTAATTATTATGAGGCCCCTAATAGGAAAGCTTGCTATAGATCCCTTATAGACCCCTTCAAAGCTAATTATTATCAAAGGCCCCTACATCATGCCCCCTTATAGTTATAGCATATATTGAGCCCCGAAGCCCTATTCTAAATACTATAGGGCTCCTACATCATATTCCCTTTTTGGAGGATCGACATGATCACCGCCTGTGCCGTGTCGAACGACCGTAGTCTGATGGTGGTTGCTGAGAAGTGCAGCAACGAAGCGAGGCAGATTCAAATCAATTAAGACATTTGTCTTCCGTGTAAAGCATATATGTTGTAAATATCAATATGAACATATGTATATATATATATACATATTCTTTATCTGTTGATTGGTTTATGTATTTTGGGTTCACCTGTTTATGTGTACACATGACAGTGTTTTGCGGTATATGAAGATGTCGAGGCAGGTTTCTGTGACTGTTGCGCAGTGCTGTTATCAACGATGCTGAATGCTGGTGGTATCCTTCGGATGCTGGCAGGTAGTCGAGAGAGTCGTAGTCGCTAGTCAGTAGGCATTTCACCATCGCTACTTCAGATCACCATGCGGAGAACCCTGTAGGGTCGGGACTCGCGTTGCCATGAGCGCCCTGTGTGGCCTGAGGACCGCACCAAGGCCTCTGCCAGAACCTACGTCGAGTCGGTACACGGTACACGTCTTGATTCGGGCACCATTGCTTGTGCTATGCACATCGTGGCTGTGGATAGTGCAAATCAGCCCTTCAGACTTTGCGAGGCAAAGCGTGCGACAGCCGTGATCGAACCAATAGCAGCAAGAGCAATAATACTTGTAGCAAGAATAGCAATGCACAAAGCCAGAGGAACTGTCATTCAACGTAGTCGTAGTGACAGTAGCAGTCACCGTAGTACCAGCAATAGTCGTAACAGGCATACAATGCACAAAACTAGTAGTAGCGATAGGGAGCCGGGGGCGGGGAGACTGGGGCGAACAAAGGAAAACAGACGCAGGGCATGGACAACTCGAGAAACATCTGCGTTCCCACGTTTAGATATTGAAGTTGGGCGCGGCCCTTTTCTGATCGATCTTGAAAGGTGGCTCTCCCCAAATCAGTGCTCTTTTCTTGGGCTTTGTCTGTGTTTTCAGAGGTGCATTCCTGCGGTTTTCTTTCATGTCATCTCCCGGCTCCAGGCTTTCGATCTACGACCTGAAGTCCAGCAGCACGAGCCCGATGAAGCTCGGCCTCTGCTTTCGGATTCGGTCCCTGGCCACTGCTGCGACTGAAAGGTAGTGACTGGTAGTGGATATGCTCTATGATACAGACATCATGAAAAAGGGTTTAGGGCAGTTTAGGGTAAAACGCGGGGCCCCGGCGATTGCACAAGCCCTGATGATGAAAGGGGCCCTTAAAAGGGGGCTTGCAAGTAAAGACGCTCCTAAGAAGCGTTATGCCTGCAAGCGCTTCCACCGCATCGATTGTACAGTAGTAGCCGTACAGTAAACTGTATACTCCCCTTTTCGCTGCTGTGTCACGGCGCTTTACGCCTGTCCACAGGGGGCTTTTAAGGGCCCAGAGCCGAGGAAGACCATGAAGCCCCTGAGTGGCGCGCTGGGATCCACCCGCTTTGTGGCTCTAAACGCAAGTGGCTGATCGCTTCTTGGGGTTTTGGGACTGGAAACTTCCAGCAACTGCCGTGGAGAGGGCTGGTCTTGGGCCGAAAGTTTAGGCTTCAGGGAATCTTCCTGCTATCAGCATCAGCATACGACTGTCATTATTATGACAAGTGTTAGTTTCTGTTTTTTGCCATGGTTCTTCTGACCAGAAACTAGTCGACTCACTCCTCTCTGTGCAAATTCGCTTGTCCCCCGGTGTAGCTTTTCAAGGGCCGTGGTGGTTTAGTCTTCTTCAATGTCACGCCGTACTGCCATCAGAAGTTCCGCCTGGCCACCTTGTCTGAGGTGGCAGTCGCCTTCTCCGTGGTGTCGCAGGAGCCCCCACTTGAGTCGGGAAGGCTTTCGGGTTTAGGGTTCGCAGTGACTTTGATTGCCAGCCGGGCGTGTTGCATGCATGGAAGGAGGGAGGCCCCCCGAAGTACCTTTGCGCGGTGACAGCGGGTTCAGAGCCAACCTTGGTTCTGATGAACTGGGAGTCAGAGAAGATCCTGGCAAAGTGCAAGCTGCCTGGAACCGTCGATCGTGTAGCTTTCCCCTTCCAGCACGACCGCACGGATGTCACAGTGTCAGGGCCGCACATGCTTCGGCTACTGCAGATTCGGCATGCCAAAGGCGAGGTGACCTTGAAGCCCATGCCAGCGTTTTCTGGCCTTCAAGAGAAGGCGCAGGCCATCCTGGATCACACCTGGCTAGAAGCGGGTCGAGGACTCCTTGGCCTTTGCGTGCACGAAGGTCCTGTTTACATCCTGAGTGCTGATGAGCTGATTCTCGGCCCTTCTTCAGAATCTTTAAGCCAAGTCAAAGCAGTCCTAGGGGTATCATGTAATCAGTGCTATGCTTTGCGAATTACGATCATCTCGAGAACTTCCTTAGAACCCAGTACAGTCATAGCGTGTAAAACCTTGTAAACCCCTATTATGAAATCGTCAGGCAACTTACTCAACGTGATGACAGGCATTGTGTCAAAAGAGTGCGCAGTCTGTGCTTAACTCGGGTTCCCCGGTTCCCCTGATCCTAACTCCTACCCCTAAACCCCTATAAAACCTTAACCCTAAACTCTAAACACAAAAAAAACTCTAAACACTAGCTCCTACAAGTGAGCTCCCCAAGCAGAACCCAGGATTGTGCTGCGGACGATCGAATCCGCTTTTGGGCCCGAGGGAGACCTCGAAGAGGTGCTTCCCCTTTGCATCCTTGCTGCAAGCTCTGGAGCCCTTTGTTTTTTGCTGGGGCCGTGCGCGCCGACTGCGTGCGCGCATTGGCGCCATCTCTGAGGACTTCCGCAATAATCGCCCTGTCAGAGAAAGAGAGAGAGAGAGAGAGAGAGAGAGATAGAGAGAGAGAGAGAGAGAAAGGGAGAGAGGGATAGAGAGAGAGAGAGAGAGAGAGAGAGAGAGACGGAGAGAGAGAGAAAAAGATGCCGTATGAGCTCTCTGAACTCCCACTATGCAAGAAACACAAAAGCAATCGTCTGCTGCAGAAGGGGGAAAAACTCGGTCGTACTGTGATGTTTACTGTTATGTACTTACACAATTACCCTTAGGTTTCCAGTCGTTGTTTCAAATGAGGCCGATATTCCTCCCATAGGACAGTGACGTTGACCTTGCTAAATCTGCTGAACTTTCGCATTGTTGTGTCGAGCTTCTGCAATCTATCTTACTACGTCACCTATCGTGTGCCAAGTGTAGTGGGAGCAAGTTTTTGTGTTGTGGCCTAGGCTTTTGGCTGGAAAAACATGAAGCACCAACGACACAGAACAATGCATAGTGCAGGTGTCAACTCGAATTCGGGGGAAACTTCGGCCATACTGTGATGCTTACTTCCCTGTAGGTCTCCTCTAGCTGTTTCTAGCACGGCCGAATTCTCCCGAAGGGCGGACGACCTAGCACCTACGACACAGATATGCGCAAAGCAGTCGGAGCTCAAATCAAGGGAGACACCGGCCATTATGATGTCCATCTACCTATTTGACTTTATCCAGCTGTTGTTTCAAGCAAGGCCAAAACTTCTCCCATAGGACCGAGCTCGTAACCTTGCCAGACCTGACGAACTTTTGCATCATTGCACTAGCCTCTGTCATGCGATCTCTTTGACTACGTGACTTAGAGCTTGCCCTTTTTCAGGAGATTCAGATAGTGCAATGTAGAACTTTCGGATCGTGGTGCAAAAAAGGCGGGGGACGATAATGTGCTTACCTTGGCTTAGTGTTGAAATGTGTGGCATTTCATGATACCATGTGTCCTCCGCGAGTCGCCACGCAAACCGACTGTAATTCGCTGCTGCATAATGACTGCAGTAGGGGGAGCAAACACGACGGTGATGTGCCCCGGGAATGGATGCTCTCTATTGTGTTTATGTGTTAGAACCGTTATGAACTTCGGGGGAATCACCAGTGTCATGCATGTTTGGATGGAAAATGTACGACCTCGGTGAACAGTTAACGAATGCTTTATGGCTTTAGCCTGAACTGAGGTCTACATTTGTCTTTCACCCCCCAAAACCTGATAAAGCATATCGGGTGGGCAAGATGCCCGGGGGTCCTGATCGACCCCTATGCCCGAGAGAGAGAGAGAGAGAGAGAGAGAGAGAGAGAGAGAGAGAGAGAGAGAGAATGTTGATTTGTTCGTTTGTGTCGGTCCCGTCCCTAACTCCTCACTCGAGGTATCCGCTCCTTTACCCATGGCTTCCTTCTGGGGGGCTCCCACGGCTACCTCGCCGTCTGGGAAGAGGCAGACGATGAAGCTTTCGCCAGCGCCCTTCGGCAGTGCAAAGCTTTCAGGTTTGAGTTTGTTGCTGACTGACTCTTCGCCTCCCGTGTCTACGGTGAGAGTTCTGTGGCTGTTCGAAGCCGTGTTCGCCCGCGCAGACTTGAGGATTCACACATGCTTCAATCGTTTGAAGTAATTGGCTTATTGCAACATTTCCGAAGCACCAGCCCGAAACGCAACGTGCCAGCCCATGAGCGCCACATCCTGGGCTTCGCCCCCCTACCAAAACAAGCATAAGAACACATTACTTCATCGTAATAGAAAAAAAATAATAGTAGTAATAATGATAATAATACTAAGAGCGGAAACCAGAGGGATTCGCGACTCAGGTGGACGATGGCTCGGAGGGCTCTCGAAGAGCACCAGAGAATGAATACAAGCTCCTTGACTCTCTTGAGTCCTTCTGGCTTGATGGGGTTTCCCTGTGTCTTTGGAGTCTTTTGCAGGGAGGAGTGGGAAAAGGACGGGGGGGAATGCAGCAGGGTGTTGGAGTTTGGTCCCGGGGTTTCGAGTTCACTGGCATTGCCTCAACCTCACATGTCTTACTTTAGGCAAGGTGCTGCTTTTTGTTTAGGCTGCTCCGGTTTGTTCAGGCACATGTCGGAGTTTTAAGAGAGTTGGCTAAGGTGGCCTCTAGGGGAGACTCATGCGGGTTTAGGATAGGGTTAAGGGTTTGGGGTATACAGCACTGTTTGATTTGGACTTGGGGTTCGTGTCCCGAATTTTCCTCAACTCCATCCTGCTTGCGCAATCCTCTGGCCCAATAGGAATGCAAGCAGCACCCTTTCAACTGGCTCAGATGTGCAGACTATTCATATGGGAGTTGTTGAAATTTAGGGGTACCTTATTATGGAGTCCTTATAATGAGGATCTTACTCCAAGATGCAGACTGAGTCAACGATTAGCACCATGAAGTATGATGGGGCCAGCTTAGGGCTTCAAACATTCTCAGTGGCTAGCCGGAATGATTCCGAGCGGTTAGTTGTTAGTATTATTCGTATATGTTGTTATTAGCAGTATTACACTATGGTATTCTAGGAGACTAGTATCGTTCTTATTATTTTGTTAATCTTAGTTTTAGCATTAGTATTACCATGCTTGTTGTTCTTATTGCTAGTGCTGGCTTCGCGATCCATCAGCCATGCAAGAGGCAAAAACTAGTAAGATATACGGTTACAATTACTAAGCCCACCTCATTATACTGAAGTATCGCAGGCTTGCGGTGGCTGTGAAGCTCAGAGAAGACCCGGACGCGGTGTGCTCCCTCGATGCTTGCTTACGAAAGAGCCACGGTTTTGGGGTTTGGGGTTTGGGGTTCAGGGCTTGGGATTCCCACGCAGTCAGGAGTGCTGACCTTCCGTCCATGCGTTCAGGCGATTGCACAAGTCCTGATGCAAAAAGGGATTCCTACGCTGTTCTGGGCGAGAGAAGACTGTTGCAAAGGGTTGGGAATCCTGATTTTGAGGATTCCCGTTCAGGAGCATTTAACAAGTGAACGCCTATTCCTGATATTGAGGATTCCTTATTGAAACCAGCTAGTTCGCACATTTTCGCACTATGTACCCTATTTGGCGTCTGCAGCACACTGTCGCCCCGGTTTGTGCGGATGTGATTTGACTGCTCATCCTTCCAATGGATGAGGAGAGGGCGAGCTCATGATGTTCTTGCTTATCAGGGGACACTTTTGCATCGACGTCTAACAGTCCAACTCTCGCCCTTTCTATAACCAATGCAGAAGCCTGTGGAGATTCCGTCCTGCCTTCCTCTGAAACGCGGCACGAGCGTCAACGCACTGAGCTCAGTGTCATCGCCACCTGTTTCACACTTCTGGGAGTTGCTGGAATGGGCGTTGACATGTGCATGAACTTCTTCGACATGGAAACCTTGGGTTAAGTGATGTGAAACAGCCCGGGCATGGGGCTTCGCGTCAAGGCCGTTAGGGTCCTGTGGGGTTTTGGGTCCCATGCGCTCTGACACCCCACTTGCTGTTTCCTCTGCTTTGTAAAATCACCCGGACCGAGTCCACATTCTCCATGGGTGGCTTTGAGCTGATGTGGGTATGTGGGTTGTTATGATGCAGCGCGTAAGATGTTGGCAGATGGGCAAAAGATTAGAGTTGTAAGTTGACACCTAGCAATGACGTCGGTGATGTCCTCGTCGTCAGCGGCGGTGGATGCAGTGGTGCTGACGGCAGCGGCGGAAGCAGTGGTGCCAGTTGTTGTTGCGTGGTTGTTGACATGTCGTTAGTTGATATTAGTTGTGAGCTGTGTGCCAACGTGTGTGACGGTCGTTTGCCGCAATGCCCCAGAAAGATGCTCATGACGATGGTGTATGTGATTATCATTGTGACGATGACGATGATGATGCTGGTGGTGGTGCTGCTGCTGGTGCTGGTGTACACTGGTACTGGTGCTGCTGCTGCTGCTGCTGCTGCTGCTGGTACGACAATCATGGAATGATGATGTTGATGGTGATACTGATAATGCTGATGACGGTGATGATGACGATTATGCCAGTGATTGTGATGACGGTGGCCCCGCGAAAACGATGGCGATGATGGGGTGGTATGGGATGGTAGGTATCATGATCGTGCTCTTTCTTGAACACAGCAGTCTGACCATGATTGTGATGGCGAGTTCTTACGAAGACGGCAGTGCAGACAATGCCAATAATCATGATCGGGATGTAGGTGGTGATGATGGCGACGATGATGGTTGTCATGCTGATGTTGATGACCGTTATAGGTGGTGATGGGCTGACCTTGATGGTGACGATGTCCCTGCTTCCAACGGTGGCCACGACTGTGCTGATGCTGAACACCCATCACTTGTTGAGACATGAAAGTTATCGCAGGATTCCTGAAAGCTGGGCCTGCATCCTTGCGGTGTCCTTGGCCCACAGAGTTTCCCAAAGGAGTATAGCCTAAATCAGAATACAAAGCTTCCTATACTTTATGTTCTTCTCCTTGACTGAGGGGTATTGGGCTTTCTTGGATTGACTCTGCATGAAATTTCTCAGGACATTACCCCCAGTGAGGAGCACCTGTTGCTGGGTTTCGGCGATTCCGTCACTTGGCCGCAGGGTCTTCGGGACTTCTCTGACGCTTGCTGCTCTGGGAGCCCATGAAAATGGTGAACATTGCATTCAGTCCCAGAAAGCCTGTGTAGAATTCGGAGGAGAGTGGAAAGAGCTTTACTGTTGGACATGTTTGTTCCCACACGCCCAGCGCTTATGTTCAGTGCTCCTTTGAAAGACTGGTCTTCTGGCACTCGTTGCGGCTTATATACCTTGTCTGTTACGACCAGGGTGCTTGTGGAAGCTTTTCCTGAAGACTCACTGGAGACGTGGTTGCCCCTAGTGACACCATGTGCAACCCCTGTGCTAGAAGGCCGATTCCTCTGTATATAAGTGAACAACGGTTTGGGGATTGTTGGTTGTTACACGCAGTCTTCAGTATGAGTATTAGTAAAGTGGCTCGTGCTTTGTTGTGCAGGCAATGGGCATCGTGCCGATGGCTTCGATATACGGCAACGAGGAAGAGCAGGCATCTGGAATGTGAAGGATTCTGCCGCGCTTCCAGTGCAGCACTAAACCCTGAACCCAGAACTCCAATATAGAGGTTCGCTGTGTTTTCCCAGCTCTCTTGGAGCACAGCTTCCGGGGATCAGAAGACGGATGTGCGCAGCTTCAAATGCCAACGTGCTGAAGCCCGCAACCAGAAGATTCTTGTACCAGTACGATTTAGGTTAGGGCGAGCGCATAGGGTCTTGGGGATGTTCTCGGGTTCAGGGCATAGGATGTGGAAGCAGTTCCATACTTAGCCGTGTATGGCGCCGGTGTCGCGAGTGATCTGATCGCTCCTCTGTGTATTCTGTGTATTCTGATGGCTGTTCGCATTCATTGAGCTAGCACACCTGCTTGCGTATGTCTCCACATCACGGTATCTACATATGCGGCGCCACCATCCACGCGATGATCTTGCAGGTCCCCATCAACATCAGCGGGAACCACTCAGCGGCCATCACTGGCATGGAGCCTCGCGAGGAGTTACTGCAGGAATCGTGATTAATGCCAAGGCTACAAGGCTGACTGTTGCAGACTGTCACTGTAGTTGGAGGGGAGGTGCTTCCCATGGGATCATGTGTTGTGGGAAAAAGACGCCCAAGAGCGACCAAGGACATGGCGGTGCATCGATCACTGGTGGTCTTTCGACATATCAGCACCCGGAGGGGTGGCCGCTAAATGTTTTGCTCGCGCAGGGGGAGAAAGAAGCCCCTTGAGAGCTTAAATTTCTTTCCACAGCCATGGTCCGGGCCATCTGCCTCCTTTTGCTGACATCTAAGCCTTTAAGTACGGGGGAATCATCGAATTGTCTGAGTTACCGGAGCCCTACAGCCAAACCGTCTTCGATGAAGCGTCGACCCGATGGGGTTTATTGCGCGGCCGAGGTTACCATCTGCCATCGTGACAGCAGCATGCGCATCTGGAACTGGGCCACACGGCCCCGCCGGGGCAACTTTTGAGGGGATGCTGACCCCGACACCCGAAGCCCTCTCGCTCAGTTCATGGCTTGGGGGTCCCTGGAGCCTCTACACTCCGCCACCTTAAACCCTAAACAACACCCCTGGGCCTAGGCCCTAAATTTCTAAACCCCCAAACCCTAAACCTGTAAGGGAGACAAAAGGCCTGTAATCTGTTGTGAAGCTAGCTGGTGTGAGATATGGTATCTGCTCTGCCTGCAGTAGTGGAGATACCTTCAACTATGAGGAGCCTCACCTGCCTTGTGCGAGAGTGAGCGTTGAAACCCTAAAACCCAGAAGCCAAGAACCTCGTTTGGCTGTGTCCGAGTTGCGAGAGCGTAAACCCGGAAAGATTTGGTAAGTGAATGGCTCCTTTAGAGTTGTCTCACTCAGCAGACTCCGAGCCACATGCCTCGCCTGGATTCTCCGAGTGAAAGCGCCAAAACCCAGAAGGACCTGCGAGATCCGATCCAAGTTTGGCGGGGATCCTCCGACCGCTGTGGCCATACATCCGCTCCCCGACGGCTTCAGCTCAGGGTTTTGCGATGTATGAGGGTTCATGCTCTATTGTCATGGATGGTTTTAGGCTATAGGGTTATGGGGTTTAGGCAGGTGGCGGGTTTAGGCGGGTTTAGGCTAATTGTCGGCTATAGCAAGATGGTTGCATACAGGGGCTTGCAAGGCTCGGGGCCATAGATGCCTATAGCCCTAACCCCCCGACTCGGCCCTAAAGCTACCGAGCATCCCTAAGCGATAAAGGCTTTTCTCGGATCAAGGTCGTGCCAGAGTCTGCTGCGGGTTTTGTTGCACATGCCCTCAACTCCAAATAAACTGTAGACTCTAAGTAGGAGAGAAAATGAACCCTAAGCCTACCCCTCAAGCATTGCAGGAAGCAAAGCCTACAGCAGGTTCGGCTACTATCTGGCCATGGGCTTTGCAGAGAAGCTGCGCTTCTACCATATCCTGATCAAGGTCCCGCGGTGCCGGGGGCCGAACCACGAGCGTTGCTTTTGTCTTTGGAGTTGGGGGGGGTGAGGGGGTTGGGTACATAGGCTTCGGGGCTTCTGTTGTTCTTTGCCCACATGGACCGCGACTACGAGCCTGCAATCGGCCAGGCAGTCTTGCAAGTGATTCCGGTCTCTCAGTGTCTTGTTTCCGGTTTCGGCTCTCAGCAGCTGCCCTAGCTTTCCGCTAGTCACGGCATAAGGCTGCTATGACCTCTGGCCACATGTCTTCAGTGTTAGACTATGAACACGTCTTGCTAGTCTGATTTTTGGTAAATGAGGAGTACCTTATTTGGGGTCCTTGTAAGAAGGATCCTACTATTCAGGGTACTATATTAGGGCCCCGGATGTTCCTAGCAGGTTCTTGTTCAGGGGGATTCGAAGTTTCGGCACCTTTCAAGCTCTGCCGGGAAGTCTTGACCTCCGGCTTCGCGTCATGGCAGATGGCCTGGGCAGGAAGGAAAGTTCTGGGATCTTCTTGCGCAACATCCCCTCGAAGTGTGATCTCCGCGTCTTGCGCAACTTCCTTGTGGCGAAGGGTCTGACGGGTTTTGAGATCGAGATGTCGCTTTTCCCAGATGGCAAGTCGCGGGGATATGCCGTGATCCGTTGCTCCGAGATGTCCGCGGTGCAGAGGCTCGTCGGCAGCGTCCACGGCCAGTTCATCCCGGGCTTTCAAAAGAGAACTCCACTCTTCTGCGAGCCGTTGCTGGGCAAAGGGCCCCGGAGATGCCAGAGTTCAGCGGCACGTGGACCTTCGAGTGGATCTCATAAAGCCGCCCTCAACCTGGCAAGTGTCGTGCAGGCAGCGGATGGGGCCAATGAAATGCCACACCACGGAGCCAGTAAAGGTAGTCGGGCAGACATAATCGTGGATCAACAACCAGCTTGTACGACGGTAGTAAGTGCCGACGGGAAGCTCAGTTTCATCCTTTAAGTCGTCGAGTGGCTGCTGTTCCTGGATGAGAGTGTCGACGTCTCACCTGTATTTAGTGTGGCACGTGCCAGTATGTTCTGTAGATGTTTTTGCTGAAACAGGTGACTTCTCATAGTGTGCTGGCTTGCATGCACGTGCCGCCTGGTGCCGAAATGAGAAAAGGCCGGAGGTCAGCACCTGTCGAGTGCTCTATGTTTCAACGAATCTTTGTGTTGTTTTCGTTCTTGGAGGCCACAGACGGGGCAGAGTGGCTTTCGACCCACAGACCCAGACCCACCTATCTCCAATACACCCCACATTGGTTGAATCTTCGATGTTGTCCCGGGTTCGATGTAAAACCGCAAGACCTGCAGCCACTGAGGAAAAAATGTTCCAGAAGAACGAAAACTTGTGTGCGTGCCACGTTCAAGCTTGTATCGCATTTGCAGATTGCAGCTCTTTCAAAGATTCGAGTGCAGTGTATCTGAAAGCCCAAATGCTCTATGGTGTGCAGGATCAAATTCCGGCCCAAAGATGGCAGGTTTGATACAGTCCGTCCGTTAATTCGAGCATGATTCCTCTCTTCGACATGCCTGGCTGAATTTTCTGCTTCTGGCACGGATCGAATTTAAATTCTGATGCTTTGTCGTCCATAGTGCCGTGCACTGGGAGCACGTTGCACTTGATCCGTGAACACGAATCTTCTAATTTCACCCTTCCGACTTGGTCAGGCCTCTATTCGTCGTACGACTACGCCTAAGATATCCTAAGATATTCAGGGTTTTGGAGCTAGGTTCTTGCAGTCGGAGAACCAAGGCAGAGTGCGGGGGGCACTGTGCAGCTTCGAAAAAGCTGCATCGAAAGGGGCCTCTTCAACTTTAAGTCTTACGATCACGCGTATCTCGAATGTGCCTCCGAGCCGAAAGGCTCTCTTCCCCCTTCTACAGCTCAACTGCGGGTATCCTTCTCATGATTCTCGTGGCATTCGAGAAGAATTCGTCTGTTTGCATGCGCCTGGCTGAATATTCTGCTTCTGGCACGGATCAAAGATGCTTTGTCGTCCATGGTGCCGTGCACAGCACGTGGCACTTGATCCGTGAACTCCAATCTTCTAACTGCGCCCTTCCGGCTTGGCCAGGCCTCCGTTATTAGCACAAGCCGAGATCCCCAATACCCAACCTTTGACCTTTTTGGGTGCTTATGGTTTAATCAATAGGAATCGGGAAGTTTGAACTTTCATTTCTATTATTCTATATGTATAATTTATCGGGGGAGTAAGCAAACACCACGTCTATGATACTGAGGGTTGTGGAGCTGGAAGTCGGAGAGCCAGGGCAGAGTGCGGGAGACCTCGCAACGGCTAAATGCCTGCACGAGGCCTCTTGAACTTCAAGTCTTCCGCTCAAGCGTAGGTCGAATGTGCTAGAGACGAAATGCTGCCCACCACCCTCACCTTTCCCAACACACACACACACAGAGCCCAGCTGCGCGTCTCCTTATCACTGTCCTAAGTTATTAGGTCTGCTGTTCTCTACCCAATCAGGGAGCATCTGAAGCTTTGAGTAGACGTGCTCCCTAAACTGATGCGTTGTACATACACCGGACACGCATGTTATAGCACAGCCGGCCCAGTACGAAAGCAGAACAGAATCGGAGCATGCTCCTTTTTTTGGCATTTCATCATCGGATCACAGGACATCCGGCTGCACAAGGAGATAAACCTCCGGGGCGTTGGACTACTGAAGTTCACCCATGGGGGTCATCTGCTGGCAGTGACTCAAGGCGGGCTTAAATGAATAGCACTACTATCTCGGGAGTTCCTTCTTACATTTATAGTATAGTGGGCCCCAAGACACCGTTCGAAGTATCAAGGCCCCTATACCGGGGGCTTGAGGCTCCTGTGTCCGAGTTTGGGAAAGGCGTTGAGAGCTGAAGAAGCTGTTGGCAGAGAAGGTACTACAGGGGCCTTAATATATATATATATGTATATATATATATATATATATATATATATATATATATATATATATATATATATATATATATATATATATATATATATATATATTTATTTATTTATATTTATATGTGTGTGTGTGTGTGTATACATATATATATATATATATATATATATATTATGGCCCCTGTATTAGGTCCCGCAAGTCACGTAGACGAATCAACTTCGATTAGATGCTGTTTGACTCCAACTGCACAGGCAAATCTATCTACGTGTACTCTGTCCGAACACTGGAGAAACTCGCCACTCTCTCAGGCCTCGTCTCATGGGAGCGAGGGTTGCATTTTCAGGGCGAAAGAGGTCGATTTTGGAACTTGAGGTTCAGCGGCCTGAGCTTGTGGTATGCAGGCCGATCTTGCGGATTTCGGGGGGCAAAGCATGAGCTGTTGCAGGAAGTGGGTCCGATAGTTGAGTTCCACTTTAACATGGGGACTCCCTCAAACTTGAAAGCCACAAGATCCACCAGCCGAGGGGGCCTCAGACACTGGAAACGGAACCGAAACCCCTTAGACGGAATCCGGCACACAGCCCGGAGGCCACAATCAGGAAATTACTTGCCTCAGCTTTGACCCGGAGGAGACGCTTGTGTAGGCTGCCTGCCTGTCCCTGCAGGATTGAGGCTTTAGGGTTCAGAGGTTTAGGGTTTAGGGTTTCGGGTTCAAAAAAGGGTTCAGAGGTGTTTTGGATTCTGGATGCAACACGCTTCAGCCATCAGTGCTGTCGTTTGAAGCCCTGAAGGGATTCAGGGCTTAGTGCATTGCAGTCCCTGCCCAAAAAAAAAGTGTTTTGGATAACGCATCTGTTGGTTGGGGTAATCTGTAAGAAGGCATCGAAAAGAGTTCAACAGAGATCCGATATCTAAAGAGTCCAGGCAGGGTTTAGGCTTTGCAGCGCTTATCACGGGATTGCTTAACAGGAGGCCGATCCCTTAAACCGGAACCCTAATCATAAATGGTCGTTGCCCTGGGCATAAAGAACAGGCTACCCCTGGCATTGAATGAAGCCATCGGTGTCGATCGGGGCGGGGGGGGGGGGGGGGGGTTCTGAGTATTCGAGTTTCCCTTGTTCAATTTTCCTTGCCTACTGTGTTGTAGTGTCCATACATCTTTTGGAACTTATAGCTTGCCGCAGGCAAGTGTGAGTGAAGCATGCGAACAAGGATCGGAGGTCTCAGGCATGAGGGGGAGGATCGCGACGAGGAGGGGAGAGAGAGAGAGGAAGACAGATGTGTCCGGGAGAGGGCAAAGACAACTCCTCGGTCTTGATGCCTCTGCTGCGAGCCCAGGAATCCGATAGATCGCTATCTCAGTCAGCTCAGGCAGTGCTCCTTTCAAAAAGGGGCCCAGGCTCCGGCTTCTACACGCCCTAAGTGAAGCCAGACAGCGGAAGGACCATACCTTGTGGAGTACCTCGCAAGATGGAAAGCTGATCAAGCGCCTCGGGATTGGCATTATTCTGCTTCAGGCTTGTAGGGAGGGTTCATGCTGATTACCTGCTGCACCTTCCAAGCTGCAGTAAAAACTATGGCATTGCAGAGATGAGCGACAGTGCTTCATTGCTGTCTACAGATGCGCGCCTTTGTCTCTTGCCGGAGATAGCCTCAGGACGAACCCCAGTCAGGTGTAGAAACCCTTTCTTACACCGAGAGCTTATCCTGTCAAGCCAAATGTCAGCCTAGTAGTAGAGTAGGGTATGGGGTAGTACAGCCCCTACATAATCCCTATATAGCCAAAACCTTCAGTTCCCCATGACACCCGACAAGTAGGTCAGTGCTCCTCGGAACCCGAACCTCCACCGCCTGCGGCCCTTAACGCCCTACGCTTCTAAATGCTGGGGGTGCGGTTTAGGCTTGTCGACATAAATTTCGGTATGTTTGGGCAACATGCTATTCTCTGGTTTGCCTATGTCTTGACCTGTCTCTCGACGACTCGATGGATGAACTGTGCTACTGAAATTCATCCGGGAGTTTCCGAAAACTAGGGGTACCTTATTTGGGGGTCCTTATAATAAGGATCCTACTATCAGGGGACTAATTTCCCGCATTTTCGGAAACTCCCATCCTGCTGAAGACAAAGAAATGCTCGAAGACCTTCTGTCTGGCAACCTGGTTTGTATCGAAACCGTCTTCCAGCTGAAAACTGAAAACCACCATCATCAATGCCCGGTAGAGAAGAAGCGCCCATGCTGACTCAATACGAAACCCTGCAATATAGCATGACATACAACCTATGATATACTACACTATGTCTATATACATATACATATATATACATATATATATATGTATATATAGAGTATAATGTAGGATGGTATAGTTGCGAGATAATTGTGCCACATGGGGACCTCTGAGTAAGTGGAGGTGGAACCTCGCGACCTTCCGTAATGAGTCCAGTCACGTCGAGACGGGATCGGAGCGCCTGGCCGTGAGCGTCATTTCACCAGACCAGGCGGGGAGGCTCACGAGTTTAGATGTTGAGGGGTTTAGGGTTGAAGGTGTAAGGTTTAGGGTTTATAGGACTCATAAGGTTTAGGGATTAGAGTGTTTTCCGGGCCCTTGGGAAGCTTGTTGCAAAAGGGGTACCAGTACACAGGCACTTCACCAAGACTTCCCTGGCTCATGTTTGTATCCCACGGAACTCTTGTAATCTGCCCCGGGTCCCGGATCTTGCAGCTCATGACCGGCCACAGAAGCCTCCTTCTGCTTCGGAAGGCGACCGCCAGCACCTTCAGAAATGGAAAGCAGCTGCTTCAAAGGCACCCGGCCTTGTTTCTAAGGCGGTGATCTTTGGGCGGAATCCGGAGAAGCATTCTGAAGCCTGCATCCCTCAACACTCAATTAAGCCGCCGAAACTAAGAAAACCTGAAATTCATGGAAGTCCTTGATGAACCCAACCGCTGTGGCTTGATGCCGTTGCGCTGATTCAGACATCTCTGGTCTCTAATTCCCCATTCTCGGTTGTATTTTGGGTGGCGTCAAGCAAGCTGCATTGTGTGTGTGTGTGTGTGAGAACACACACATACAGACATACATACATGCCCGCATACTTACCTACCCACCTGCCCACCTACCTACATGCATACATGTATATGTATGCGTATATGTATATGTGCATATACATATTTATGTATCGGTTTGTATGTAAATATGTATGTATGTATATATATATATATATGGTACCCCCCCCCCCCCAGGACCTACCTCCAAACCCGTCTGTCTACAAAGATGATACCACACTGTATTACCCATGCACAGACATGCACATGCACGCACACACATGCAACATGGACTAGGGTATACGAAGATTCGTGTATAGGAACATGACTATACCAGCGATCTGGCTGCATTAAAACGCGCATTAAAAAATTAAATTTTAATGCAGCCCGGCCCGTGGAACCAAGAACCAAGAACCAAGATGCCCAGGAGTCTTGAATCCTGAATCTTGGTTCCACGGGCACCGGCCGGGCTGCATTAAAATCTGCATTAAAAAATTAAATTTTAATGCACCCAGGCCCGTGGAACCAAGAACCAAGAACCAAGATGCCCAGGAGTCTTGAATCCTGGATCTTGGTTCCGCGGGCACTGGCCGGGCTGCATTAAAATCTGCATTAAAAAATTAAATTTTAATGTACCCAGACCCGTGGAACCAAGATTCAGGATTCGAGACTCCTGGGCATCTTGGTTCTTGGTTCTTGGTTCCACGGGTGGGGCTGCATTAAAATTTAATTTTTTAATACAAATTTTAATGCAGCCCGGCCGGTGCCTGTGGAACCAAGATTCAGGATTCAAGACTCCTGGGCATCTTGGTTCTTGGTTCTTGGTTCCACGGGCCGGGCTGCATTAAAATTTAATTTTTTAATGCGCGTTTTAATGCAGCCAGGTCGCTGGAAACTATATAAATATTCACGAAACATATCGGCTTGCCCTTTTATGTGCCACATGGCCGGTCCTGCAGTGAAGATTAAGGAGCGGATTGCTGTGCTTGACAGTTTGATCGCATGGCAACAAATGTGTGATGACGCAAGCTGCAGCCAATCAAAATCAAATGATCTTGTACTTCCAGCTCCAGTCCTGTCCTTGTGAGCATAAATAAAATAAATACTGTACAGATAGGTTTAGACATGGAACATCAGTCGGAGCCGAAGATTTGCGAATGTCCAGCTGGGTTATAGCTTATTGAGTAACGGGCCCCCATGGTGGACATCAGGAGCCTACTTGTAAACAAATATCCTTCAAAGTCCACTATAGAATACCCCCTTATCCTTTCCAGGATTTCATAGAAAATGCTCAGGTCGTACCATTTAGAGTTTATGACGTATATACTCTGTATAACATACCTTCTGGAACACCCTGTATCTCATGAAACACCTTATAGAAATCTGTCCTATATATACACCCTATACCAAACTATTCACACGTTACAGTTTGGGATACCCTTTAGATACCGTATAGACTGCCCCATAGAATACCTTGTCCAGGATTTCAGAAAAAATACTCAGGTCGTACCATATAGAGTTTATGAAGTATATAATTACTTTGTATAATTTACCTTATGGAATACCCTGTATCTCATGAAACACCTTATAGAAATTTGTCCTATATATACACCCTATAGCAAACTATTCGCACGTTGCAGTTTTGGATACCCTATAGATACCTTATAGACTGCCCCATAGAATACCTTGTCCAGGGTTTCAGAAAAATACTCAGGTCGTACCATGTAGAGTTTATGAAGTATATGTTTTGTATAATATGCCTTATGGAATACCTTGCATCTCATGAAACACCTTATAGAAACCTGTCCTATATATACACCCTATAGAATACTTTTTATACGTTACAGTTTTGGGATACCCTATAGATACCTGTAGACTGTTCCATAGAATACCTTGTTTTTCTCCTATATACCCTATATGAGCCTTTTAGAATACCATCTGGATTACTTTACAGAATGTTTTATAAACGCCCTATACATGATACTCCCCTTATACCTTATACATGCCCTTGAGAACCCCTTTGGGATACCCGACAAAAACCGTATAGATCGGGATTTACTTAAAATAAATCAGAAGGAGCCCAAGATTCTTGCAGCTTATTGAGCAATGGACATTTATGCCTGTAGAATACCTTACAGAATACCATTTTTACAAACCGTAAAGAAATTCATGTACAATACGGTAATACCTTATATAATGTTCCTATATTCCCTATACACCTTGTACACCCGAGATCTGAGAGTTCCCCAGTTGAATGTGGTTTATTTAGCAATGGATTCATATCAAGGAATTGCGGAATATCGGATTTAAAAATTCCTTGAAAATCGATGCTTATCTAGCAAAGGATACGTACAGAGAGCAGAGCTCTTCTGAAGCACATGCTGCACATACCCTATACATGCCTTTTAAACTACCTTTTCCACCGATTTACCCGACACACACCTTATATAATACCATCTGTAATGCCCCGTTGAATACTTTGAAGAAGAACGCCTCTATTTGATACATCCTGTGTACCTTTTGTATGCCATATAGAGTACTTGTACAGTACCATTTAGATTACCTTTTAGAATCCATTATAGAAAACCCTAACAGTACCTTATACATACGGGCTTTAAATATGGAAAGCCAGCCGGAGCCCAATATCTGAGAATTTCTAGTTGAATTGCAGCTTTTGGGTAAGGGATTCCTATGAAGAAATCAGGAACCAGGAAAACTATCCTTACAACCTCCTTATAAAATACACTCTCTATGCACCTTAATGAATTTCATCAAACATACACTATAGAATACCTTCCTACATATAGGCCGCAGAATGCCTGTTGTACAATACGTTATGGAGTACCCTCTAGAATGCCTTGTAGAATGCCCGAAAGAATACCATCCTTACAGAAGACCGCCTATGGAATATATCTTTTGTATACACCAAATATACCTCATAGAATATCCTCCAGAATACCTTTTAAGATACCGTTTACAATAGCTTATAATATACCCTATAGATCACGGTTCAAAAAAGGAACATCAGGAGGAGGGCGCCGTCAAATAGCGTAGCATACAGAGGACAATAGACAATACTTCATGGTATTGTGTTGGTTCGAACGGTGTGGTGTCGTCGTAGACAGTGAAGACTACGCAGTATACTACAGTTTAGTTCGGAGTGGAGTCGTAAAGTCGTCTAGACAGTACAAGAAGAGGCTTCGAGGTAGGTCCTGGGGGGGGGGGGGTAGCATATATATATATATATAGAGAGAGAGAGAGAGAGAGAGAGAGAGAGAGACAGAGGGAGAGAGAGATAGAGACAGAGAGAGCACTGTCACTTAAAGTGACTCCCCATTAAGCCTTCGAGGTTCTCCCAGGGCGACTTGGAGTATGAGGTCGAGCTGGAGTCCAACGTGAAAGTGCCGCGGAACAAGCTAGCAAATGTGATTGTGCGTAGAAAGGCAACTACACAAGTATTTGTTTCAAACCTTTGTGTGTGTGTATTTATGCCTGGATCCATATATCTACACAGACCGTATAGCAGGCGCATGCATGTTGCATGTACTAGTAAATCAATAGTTAGATAGATGAATGAATGTGCACATGATGAAGTGCATAGTTGAATGGGCAACTGGCAGAAGTCCAAAAACAAATGTGCACACACACACACACATGGCTACACCTTTGGGTTTCGGCATGTAGAGAGATGGCGAGGACACTTTCCTGCTACAGTGGCAATTACTGTACAACTATCAGAATTGTTCTTCTAACAGGTTTGATGCAACGCAATTTGTACAGCATTATTCACATACAAAGGATTGTTATGTCAGGGCAGCAGTATAGGTATTGGAGTGGATCCTGCATCCTTAGTCTAGTTGTTCAGGCATTACATTCAGCCCTACTTAAGCTCCGCACATAACCCTTTTTTAAAGTCCTAGAGTGCCCTACGATGCATTAAACCCTTTGGAATCACGTTGCACACCTCAAAAACCTAAACCCCAATCCCTGTTGTCCGGACATGCTGGGGATCTCAACCTTCCAATGAGTTGTGTCTGTTGATCCTGGCTTCAATGTGAAGCTTCGGGGTTACGCTGCTTTTTTGCTAGGTGTGCTAGGTAGGAGTAGGAGGGAAAAAGTACCAGTGGGGCCATGTCCAGCAAGCCGCCTCCTAGGTTGACTTTTCCTTGGTTTATGCAAAAAGGGCACTTTCGGGGGCTTTTTGGGGGGTTGGTTTAGGGTTGTGGGCCGTCGGCATTTGGGGCTTCAGGCCTTTCGGGTTCAGAGCTTTTGTAGTTGTCGTTTCTCGCTGCGGCGCTCCTTGCATTCATTGTACTGGCTGGTAGTTTCGGAGAGTTGACCTTTCCGATAACGGCGACCAAAATTCCGGACACAGGGGATCGCTAAACTTGGCATAAGCCCGTGAGTGAGGTCGTGTCTCTGTACCATCACCACGGCAACTCCATGTTCCTGGCCGGCACTGCCCGAGGGGGCCTGCAGATCTACACGTCATTGCCTTACCAGGCCAGGGATTGGGTTTGTTGCGGTAGCATGGATGAAAAACGAAGGATGCGTTCAGTGCTTCCTGTCTGGTAATGGCCCGGGGTACACAGGCATCCAGAGCATGCAGCTGGGGTGTGTGAGCATTAGAAGGTAGACATGCTGGCCACTGAGACTCGCATAGAGACAGAAAGATAAAGAGACACGACGAGCAAGAGACAACAACCGGCTGCATGCTTCCAAGATGCCCATGTCATCCAGGCCCGTGGTCTCGAAGTCTCCAGAGGAAGCAAAAGCAAACAAACTGAAGTGGGTCAAGAACTTGAGAACGATGTTGCACAGCCCTCAACCCCTGTCCCAGAAAAGTTCGCACCGGAAGACACCCGGCCCGAAGCCGGCCTGCCAAACCCTGGACCCTAGACTCTTGTTTGCGGCTGCCTGGCACTGCTAGGCCTCTGCATGCAGCGGCAAAGAAATAGACGGTGCAGACGGGAATAGAGAGGTAGAGAGCGAGACTTGAAGAAGAGAAGCTTCACAGCCGAAACAACCCTGGCCCTGCTCACGTGTTCCCTTTACTCTGCGCACAGGCCTATTCAAGCGCCAGGCGAACTAAACTAACTAACCCTTATCCCTACAGCCGCTTCCAGGGCAAGCCCAAATTCTTCGAATTGGCACTGCATGGCATGGCGTGCACGGCGATCTGCGTGTCCGTTGATGGGAGCCTTGCCTCAGCAGAGCAGTCAGAGAGTCGAGATGAGTCGAGCTGGGGCATTGAATCATGAGTTTTGTTTAGGAGCTTGAGTGGGGGTTAGGTTTAGGGGGGTTTAGGGTTTAGGCTGGGATTTCAGGTTTCAATCACAAGCGCCCAAAGCCTCCCATTGATGTGAAGAACGAGGTTCACAAGGTTTTGCCGGGACTTCGGGTCTATAGGGCAGCTCAGGGTTTCAAATGTCGGGGAAAGTCGAGCAAAGGCCTGTGATTGACATTTCGGGGCTGAGGAGGCAGTTCCTTTGTAGTGTATCTCCAAGACGTTGCCCGAGTTTTGCGTTATTGCTAGGGAGTATCAGGGAGACCCCTTAAAGGGGACTCCTCTTAGCCCTACTTCTGGCTCTCTTAAAATGGACCTTATTGAGAGGGGTCTGTATCTCCAATGGTCCCCCAAATCCTAACTCCTAGTCGTTGAGCCGAGGACTCGGAGAGCCTTTAGACCACCCTAAGATAGGGGCCGAGAAAGAATACCGAGACTGTTTTGAGGGTTCCTTATTATAAATACAGTGTAGTGGGCCCCAATACCCTATTATAATTACTGAGGCCCCTATATTACCCTCGCTCTACAGGGATTATCCGTGATTCCAAGTGCAAGTTCCCATTCCGGGAAGGGAGGTCTTTGCCTCCTGCATGGTCGAACTTCATCCGAACACACAGTAGCCGAATTGCTGCCGAATCCTGAGAGCTTAAACTTCTTGGCAAAAGCATCTCTCTGAACCCCAAATTGAGGCCCTACACCCAATATCTTAAGCCTCATAGACCTAAAGCCCTGCAACCATTGCTGCAAATCCTGAAACCCGAAACCCTAAACTTCCGAGTGCACGTACCCTAAACTTCTGCAGCGCTGCCCAGAGAGCCCAAGACCCCTCGATTAAGGAATATAGCTCAAATCATAGTTGGAAGCCGCTTTATCATTCAATATATTCCTTGATTCAGGGTTACTGGGATCATCTCGTGGTCCCTTGCAGTTATCAGGCGGACGATGGTCAGCGCCGGCGCAGACGGCGTGATCTTCGTGCTGGGATTGTCCGGGCTCATCAGCCCAGAGGAGTGAAACTATAGTCCATGTCTGTTACTGTAGGGGTTTACTTACCTTTGGTTAGTAGGGAATGGAAGAATGGTAGTTAGTATTTATAATTGTACCCCATTCCTCCATTCCCTATTAACCAAAGGTAAGTTTGGGGCTGGGGGAGGCCGGGGTTTCTGGGTTTCGAAGGGCTCTGTATGGGGGTGTAACGTAGGAACCTGATCAAGCAACCTTGGGGCTTTATTATAAGGGCTCCTTATATGAATCCTATTATTTGGGGGTTATAGGGACAGGGTTTCTCAATCAGGTTCCTACATTAGGGGGTTGGATAATTGATCATGAGCGACGCTTCACAGGAGCTGAACATGCTGCCCACGGCTTTGCACCTTTGCGGCGGTTCGGAGACCCCCACGGAATGAAGCCTTCCTCCCTTATTTCGGGGTGCTCTCGAGGCTGTTGCTTGTGACAGGGCAATAATAATAGACTTCGTAATTCATGCTCGGTGACGCAGTGCCAGTGCCCGGCCACCGAACCTAAAGCACCCGTGTTGCCCGTCCATCAGCTGAACAACTGTTTGAGCCACAGGTACTGAGTTTTGAGTCTTGGGCGTAGGAAGACCCGATATCCTTCCGCAGAGCCACAGGCACCAGAGCGATAGCGATCGCTTCGCACAGGAAGCAGAGGCCGTTTGCACCGGGCTTGCAGGTACAGTGAGTGCAGGAAGGAAGAGCAAGATACTTTAAGGTATATAAGTGTTTTGCTATCTAGGGCTCGACTTGCGACTTCTTCGTTTTCTGAAACTCCGACAAACATACTTACATTCGTAGTTAGCAGGTAGCTAATTAATAATAGTAAGGAGCGTAGTCGGAATTATGGTCATAATATAATAGTAATAATAGTTGTAATCATCTTCGCAGGAGTATGTAGCAAGAAGAAGGTCAATACGAAAAATTGCAGATCGCGACCCTCCCGGTGCCTTGGAGAGGCTGTCTTGGCCTCGAGTCAGCAGATCCAGAAGCTGGAGCACAAATGTCAGGCCTTCGACCCTGGACTGCCTGAATAAGATAGTAAAGGATAGATAATAATCGAATACACTGGAGTAGAACCGAGTATAGACTGTAGAGTAGAGTTGGGGATAATTAGAATACACGAGCAGACTACGTTTAATGCCATGTGAAAGAAGGTAACTGGCAGTAAACGGTGCAGGAGAAAGTGGCACCTGTCTTTCAGACATGCTCGTAGCTGGAGGTAGATACGACTCTGTCGGTTCTTTAGGCCCTAGGTCCAGGGATTCCTGGGACCCTCGAGAAGTCATTCGTGCCTGTGACTGCATATGAAACCGCGTATGTCCAGGTTTTGCCTTGCTACACTCCGCCCGCCCTGAAAATTCGGCAAGTCGAATCATGAAAAAAGGCGGAAGCAGGCTGTGAGGTTTCTCGGTTCGCTTCGGAATGAGAGACCATAAAAGACAGGGTGCAGACACATCTAAAGTTCGTGTCGACTTTGGCATGAGATGCCTCAAGCAGCGGCAACAACGGAAGCAGAAGCATCAATGGCAGCAGTAGCAGCCATGCCGTCAACAGCAAGAGCAGCAGCTGCGATAGCCACACCAATCATCGTCGTCATCATTGAGTCGTCTTGTTTCACATAGCACGATAAATCAAGCCCTGTGATCACCGCTACAGCTCCGAGTAACTCTTTATTGCCCTCATGATGACACTTCACGTGGCCCTACTGCGGCAACCTGCAGCAGGGGGTGCAGCTACAGATGCACAGACAGAAGATTTCATGCTTGCGCCGATTTAAATGCAGAGAGTATAAATACAAGACAAATGTAGTAGACAGCATTGTGCTTTGATTTAGTAAAATTAATGTACGGGTATGTCATGGGGTCTGATGTACATCTCCTGTAATGTGTGCTTGTGTTTTCCGATGATGAATCTCTTTGCTGTGCAACTCTGTGCAAATATATGCATATGCCCTCTCATACACGTGTGGTTTGTCGCTATGCTCTTGCACAGCAAACAATACCCGAACGAATCGAGCCATAACTTTGCAGCCAGTCGTCCTCTTGCCGAAATGTTTCGATCAGCATCGAAAATCGTTCAGCCTTCGTGCCCTGACAGCTTACGATTCCGTCAGGGTACGTGAAAGTGACAGGCGCTAATGATCGAGTTCCGAGAGATCAAGGAGAAGCAGGAGCGAGAGTTTGCCCAGCACGAGGAGGCCTGGCAGGGTAGGCCGCTGTCGTCAGGTTGGGTAACGTTCCTCGGTATACAGGGGCCTGAACAACGACATGACGCATCCTATTCTAGGGTAGTTTTGAAGCTAAACCATAAGAAACCCCCAAAATCCTATTCTAGATGTCATTGGTGGCAGAAGTCACTGCTGCAAGAGGCCGCCCCCTGGTATGGTTTGCCTTTGGAATTCGGGTTCTTGAGCCTAAGCCGCTGCAGCTTCAGGGGCATCGTTGTGTGTTCTGTGCATCTATATTTCCTCATTTTGCCATCACAAGATCTCGAAGACCAAACGACGAATGTTCAATTGGGTAGCTTCAAAAACCAAGAAACTTTGCAATGACTTTCCACATCGTGCAACCCTTTAATCGGAAGCCTACATAGCAGGGTCTTCTGTATAGAGAACCCTCAGTCCAAGTCTAGGACCCTTGGTTACGTAAACATATACTGGGCTCTGGTCTTTCTGCAAACCTCCCAAAGTCCCGAAAGTCGAGCTTCCTCAGGAAGCCGCAGCGCATGTGGCGCAGGCTCGGAGCAAGTAGAGACACAGCTAGTCGGCTTGCAGGCGCGATGCCTACATGGGTCGCTTTTGACTGGTAAAGGAATGCCCTGCAATGCTTCGATGCAGCTTCTCATGTGTTCTGGGTACTCCGACAATCTCTGAAATTTAACGTCTGTATACTGCCTTCATGGAAGATTTGTGGATGTATTACTCTGCCCTATAGTTCACCCCAAAGCTAAAACCCAGTCCTTGACACCTAAACCCTCAAAACCAAACCCAGGAACCTCGCCTATGAGTGCTGCAACCGTAAACCCCAAACCCTATACCCTAAACCCGCCTGGATTGTCCGAGTGCGAGCGCCGAAACCCTTAACCCAAGCCCGAACTCCCAAATCCAACAGCCGCCTGAAGTGTCTCAGTGGCGAGAGTCTAAAGCCCGGTCTTCGACCGCGAGCAACACAGGCATTCAAAAAGCCTGTAACATGCATATATAAATATATATATATATATATATATGTACAATGTTATTATAATGATATACGCAAATAGTATATTGACATACGTGTTTCAAAATACAGAACATCCCCGCAAGCCCCGAAGCTTAAACGGAGACCTTCATAAATGTGTGCCGCAAGAGCCTGCACAGAGGATTTCTTCTTCCTCCCGAAGTACCCACCCACTTCTTGGCTTTGGGTCGCAGGGTTCGGATTGAATTTTTTCGGGTCTGGGTCTTGCAGCAGCGTCTGGAGGCTCGAGGTACATGGCCAGGGTTGAATACTGGTTTGAGGGTTGGGGCTTGGTTTTAGCGGACTCCGAACGCTAGGCCTTAGTCTCGAGGTGTTGCCTGCATTGGGTGAGAGTCGAAACTTTCATTTGGGTTTAGAGGTTGCTTAGCCGTTATGTTCCCAGGAGAAGCAGCAGCTGCAGTTCGCAAAGTAACCCTTAGGAATAGCCCAGGCTTGTAAAACCTCTTCAAATGAAGCCCAGTGAGCAAATAGCTTCTCAACAGCCTCATAAAGCCCTGTAGATCCGTGAAGCATCCACAAACTTCAGATTTTCCTGGGACCTAAACCTTAAACTCCAAAACCCTTTAGAGCCCTTGCAAGGCGAGACAGAAGGACCAAGCCCAGATTCAGGAGACGGCTTTGCCTGGAGCACCGCTGTTCGCGGGGTTGGGGTGTAGGGTCTGCAGTGTCTAGTGGTTCACAAAGATTTGCATAGGGGACTGTATGTGTTTGTCCGTGTCGTTTAAGTTCGGAGTTCGCTTCTGCTTCGGCTGCCTTTAAGGGGTTAGGTGGTGAGGGTTTTTTCATCTGCATTCAACAGAATATGCTTCGAAAAGCACAAGCCTTCGACCCTCTCGGAGGCACAAACATCAACTGTCTGGTGCAGGATTCGGAATGCCGAAAGCGCAGCCCTAATCTTGACACGATGTGCAGCTCACTCCTCCTGCATACTATAGGGGCCTTAATAAATACATTTACTATTTTGGTGGTTCCTTGTTATAATCAAAAAATAATATGGGCCCGAAATTATAACAGGTCCTTTTATAGTAGCCCTTTCTAGTTTAGAAGAACCCTATTCTAATTGTTAAGGCCCCGAGAACCAGGAGCTCCAACGACGCTATGCCGCCTTGGAGGAGGTTCGCGAAGTGTTGCACATGCAAGTAGGAGTTTCCGAAACATTACCTTCTCTTCGGGCCCTGAAAAGAAGGATCCTACTTTCTAGGGTACCCTACTACGGTCCCCCATTTTCGGAAACTCCAAATCCCACAAGTCTTTCAGTTGGACCTGCGCATCGGCGTTTGCCTTGGGTGAGTGTGAGAGCTCGAAATCCCATAGGTTGAGCTCCTTCATGTGCTCTGCGAGTGTTATTGCCACTGAAGACTTGCCAGCTGCGGCGACACCTACTTGAAGGGAGAGAGTTGTTCTTGCCAGCAATGTCGAAGCAGAAGAGATAGCCAGATATGTTGAAGGTCCAAGCATCTGCAAAGATTAAGGCAAAGCGCGAGCACAAGCCAAAAAGCCTAAACCCAACAACACAAAACCCCAAAACCGCCATCCTTGGTATTGTACCAAACTTTCGATGTCCAGGCAGCCCAAGCCAAAGAAGCCGAAGGCTCACTGAAGGGAGAAGCCATTCTCTTCGAATCACAATGCATTTTCCTTTTCAGGCGTTTGGGCTTCGGGATTCGAAGGGAAAATGAACCCGTTGCAGACCTAAACCCCAAATCCCAAAACCCTCATAGGATTTCGGCCAAGGGTAGCGGTTCGGGGCATATACGGGGAGAGGGAATGTAAGATGTCCTACTACTACGACCTTGGTATCTCGGGCCTTTCTTTCTGACATTTCTATTTCTCGATCTAACTGTCGATCTATCTACCTATCTGTCTATATGTTATCTGTCTATGTAAACACACACACATACATATATGAATATATATATATAACACATACACGTATATACACAGATATACATACGAAAGTACATGCATCACCTGTGCATATATATATATATATATATATATATGCATGTATAGTTACACATGTGTATATATATATATATATGTATATATATATATAGGTAGATAGAGAGTGAGCGAGCGAGTGAGCGAGTGAGTGTGTGTTTGTGTGCGTGGGCGTTTGGTGTTTCTTGGTTTGAGCTGGGTCCTGATGACTGCAACATTGCCCTGCAAGCATTGCCCTGGGCAGAAAAGAGTTCATCCGCCCCTTGTCATTAGCTGTATCATCGATCATGGGGAGTTCAGAGTTTTGACGTGTCAGTAAGCATGCATCATGTGCCGGTCCTAACTCAGGGATCCCCCAAGAAAAGCACAGGATCCTTCAGGGAGGCTGGGATTGTTGGATTGTTAGGTTATATGTGGGAGTTTCCGAGAATTAGGGGTACCTTGTTTGGGGGTCCTTATAATCGGGATCCGACCATTTAGGGTACTATATTAGGGTCCCCTGTTTTCGGAAACTCCCATATTATACCCCTCGTGACTTCCTTTGGGGGCCTTCACTCTCGAAGGAGTGCGCTTGCAACGGAACATGGAGTATCGACATGGCGAGGCGCCTGTGGGGGAGGTTTTTGCTATGACCATTGAAAAGGAAACTTATGCTGCACCAGTGTTATACCCAATATGTAAGGCACAGTCAGTCAGGGAGCCAAAAGATTGTGTTGCTGGACATCGGTGCCACACCGCCCTGCCATGCTAAGCCCGCACCCGCAAACCCGTCTACATCGATTTTGGCAGCTTGCAATCCGACAGGCTGTGGATCAGCTCACCCGGCTTTACCATCGAAAGCTGGCGCATGAGTCGGATAGGCTGCTGACGCTGCGGCGCCTTGCTTCTTTTCAGACAGTCGCTCTGGGTTTAGATCCGGACTTTCTGCATCACTTCTGGAGTTTTGCAAAATGGCGTCGCACACGCCGTTCTGGCTGCATGAGTACTGGCTTGGGAGCGGGAGACTGGAGTATTGCCCAGAGCCTGCAAGGTTGCAGATAGACGATCTACAGGAACAGAAGCACAAGGACGGAGATTTGGATATGCTCACGGCAGGGCGTTCAAAGAGCACCTGGTCGACCTCACTAGCTTTGTAGCCACTGCAAGGCATATCTTTACCCTTCCCACACCATGCTGGTACTGACTCAACCGTTTGCTGTCTACTGGCTCACTCAAGAGGCATGTCTTTTCCTCGTGGCATGAAGAGTTTCAGCGTGTCTTGAGCTCCGAGCTCTGCTAATGAAGAGTTGCCAGTGGCGTCAGCCTTCAACCCAAACCTAAGGCAGTGAGGCAGCATCTCAAGGCCTTGACCCGATCTAGTTTCAATTCAACTGCTATGACAAGGCTTCGTCATTGTTCCTCAGATTCTGATTCATTCCCTTCTTTTCTGTTCAACAGCTTCTTGCTCCCTGGTGTTACGACACTTGAACCTTGTTCGGCAGAACTTCAGATGGCACGCAGGAAGAGGAGCAGCACCTGCGTCAGATGCATGAGTCTGCCGTGGCAGTCGGTTTCTCAGACATGTGGGAACTCGGAATAGAAATGGGCCAAGAAGACACGATGCCACACGCAAACCGCAAGTTATTGCTGCAATGACTGGCTTTTGGTAGCTACATATTCGAGCCTTCGTTCGTATGTTCCCATGCATGCATGCAGCGTACATGCCTTCATACGTGCATAGATGCATGCATGCAGGCCTGCACTCACATAATCACAAAGATACATACACAAGTGCACACGGACATACCTGTGTACCATGCCCTGCATTTCAGACCGTACCTTGCCACACATACGCATGCGTGCGCATACACATCCACATGCACGTGCACATACATTTACACGCAAGCGCATGCACACTATGTGACCTCAGAAACTGTGTGTTTGGTAGTATTCTTCAGAATGGTACAGTAATTCATGCAGTAGCAATGTAAGTCGTTCCCGATCCTGTCAGGCTCAAGAAGAGCTCTCTCGCTTGCTCGCCGAGAGAGATCTGGAAATCAAGAAGCATCAGGCCTTGCCCAGTCAGTAGTATCTACTACATGGGGGCATGCGGCCATATTATAAATAAGTACTATATACTTATACATACGAGCCCTAAGCATACTTTCGTAATTATTCCGGCCTTGGTTTGTTGGGGTTGTCAGGCCTCAGGCCTTAATTAGAGTTGAGGACCTGGGCTTAGGGCTCAAGGTTTATAGGGTTCAGGGTTTAAAGCTGTAGTTCGTAGATTTTAGTAAGGGGTTCAGGCGCTGCACGAGGGCGCACCGTCCTCGGTCCCGGAAAGCCAGGATCCTAAAAGCCCTCGGAAATGCCTGGGGTCGCTGCAGACCTTGCCAGGCTTGTCCGAGTGTGAGTGTCCAAAAAACACCAAAACTTCGAATCCCCCAACCCCCGTTCTCACAGAACTCCTGAAACACAGCCCTATACCCTAAACCCCGAGAGGGAAAAACAGACCCTCCTGAATCTCCACATCCTCCAGAGGACCTCTTGGCCTTCGTGCAGCATCGCTTCGAGGAGATCCAGGAAACCGGCGCCGAAAACCACGCGCCCCAGCTTTGAAGGCCTAGAGTCCTTCCTTGGAGGCCTGAATAACTGGAGGGTTTTGGGGATCATTACCTACAGTCTCCTTAGGAATTGCTTTTGTTTATGGTTCCAAAGGGGGGTATAGTAATTACTATAGCTAGAATAAGGAAGCCGCGGGAACAGTATGGGTAATTCTTCAGGCTTCTAGATTAGATGAGGGGTCAGGGTCTCCGAGTTTGTTTGTGTAAATAAGGGGCAAATTTTAAGGAGGTTTGACTCTTCACAAAGCTTTCTTTGTATGGGGTGCTTAGATGTTTTGTTTGGGATTGTATTCGTGGGGCTTTACAACCCAGCATTTAAAGTTTAAAGGGTATGTGAGGGGAGTGTGGGTTTTGATTGTTGAGGGTTGAGTTGTTTGGGTTAGGGTATGCGGCTCGGGTTGTGGCATTGTACTGGGCATCGAGTTTCTACCACCCAAACTGAGTCAGAGCATTTGTGGGTGTAGTGATGATGCCTGTCGGCATATGTGCTAAGCGAACCGTTCAGTGCAGAGTCGTCCGACCTTCGAGCATTGCCCCTAGAACCAAAACAGCAACAGCAAGACGTGGCGCACATATTTCCGAGTCCTGGGCCCGATCCAGTATAAAGAAGTTAGGGTTTACCGGGACATCCAAACCCCTACTGTTTTGGGGTTATACCCTATAATTAAGGGGTCATAACCGACAATTTTGTAGGGTTTTTTGGAGCTACAGGTAGGGTTCAGGGTTTAGGTTTGACAGTTCCTCTTACTATCAGAGCCCTGCTTCTTGCTGAGGATCGGGAGGTGATACGCCGCTTGGCTGCTCCGACACCTCGTTGCCCGTAAGGTCCTCCATTGACAGGTGGGTGCTTTGATGATCGCCAAGGGACACTCATGATGATGATGATGGTGACGACCATGCAAGGACGAGGGGTGGGGCTGATTATGTCCAGTATGTACGCGAATACGTCGGATGTCATACCCCAGTGGATGGCTTGCTGACCCTTGGGCTACAAGTGTTCCTAGCTACAGATCCGAGCCACTCACAGTGGGAGATCAAGAGGTCCTAACATAGGGGCCTGAAGGGTTTGCTTAGCAAACTTTACAGATCATCCTTTTTCAAGCCCTCTGGCCGAGGTCTCAAGCACCAGGGGTGGTCGGCATTGGAGGAGCAGAAGCAGGCTGTCACAGAATTCGTGGAGACTCGGATGTGTTGCGCATAGGCCGCACCCTAAGTAGCGGTCAAGTTTCCTGTAGCGAGCATTCAAGACTTGAGCCCTCTACCCTGAACTTAAGCCAGAATCCCAAGCCGGAACAACATGGAACAAAAACCCAGAGCCAGCTTATGCAGGGCTCTGGCGATGAAGAGCAGCGACCAGGCAATCCCAGCCATAACCGTAAATTGATGCAAATGGCAGGTGGAAGAGCAGCTGCGAAAGGAGCAGGAGAAGCTGCAGGGCAGCCTTGAGAAGCAGGAGCTCGCACGGAGGGCTGTGAATGGCATCTACTAACATCTACGACAAGTTCTTCTATTTAGACTTGTGTTTATCCTCCTTGTTGTTATATCATCATAATCCTTAGTTTTAGTGTTGTCATTGTTGTAGTGGGTGCCACCTATACTATATACTTGTTATGATCAAGTCCCAGTGTTGTCACTATCAGTTTGCGATTACTCAGATTGCCCTTCCGGCTCTCGATCATGATTACAGCGAGTATCGTCAAGACGGCTGTTGAACGTTCATCCCAATCTTATTTCTCATACTGCTATTTGTATTGCCAGAATACTTTGGGTCACAATTATTCCTTTCATGATCATTATTGGCATTATGCAATCATTAGTTCTTGTGGTTGTTCAATGATGTTCATTCGTGTTCGTGGTAGTCGTCGCATTGTCGTGGCGGTGATGACTATTGACTATTCAACTTGTCATTGTCGCTGTTGCTCTTGCTTTTTCGTTATGAGGATGACTGATGCTACTATTCGCGTGGGTGTTAGCATTACTTTGCAGCATTCGGTGTATTCGTGCATTTACCAGCAGAAGGCTATGCAGATGATGTAAACATGCCCTTAAAGTTAAAACGCAAGCCCCGCTTCCCCCCTCCTCTCCCACGAAGATGGAAGTTCAGACACCGACCCCTTTTGAGTGACTTTGCGAGCCCGGCTTGAAGAAATTCGATTGGACGGTGACCTTGGAGTTACCCTCGGTGATCCTATACTCTTTTCAGGTGTTTGGCAGTAGGGTTTCGAGCATGACTTGAGGAGAAGGAGCGTGAGGTGGTGGAGGAGAAGCAGCAGGAGTCCAACTCGACATTGAAACTCGACACTTCATCTCAGGAAGAGGATTTCAGGCTACAGCGTGCAGGTTTCCGCAGCTGAGCAATCACGTGTTTGTTGAGTGATTCCAATACCACACGTTCAAGAGTATGTTGATCCGATATGTGTACATGAAGAATGGGAATATGCCTACATATCTGGGGGTCATCTATGTGATCCCTACAGTCTCTACTGTATGATCTTATAGTATTTTCGAGTTTCTTTACAGTAGATTAGCGTATATCATAGTACCTTATCGAATGTTTCTCCTTTACCCATAGGCCCCATAGTAGTTCCTTGTTGGGATTACCTGATCGAATTCTAAATATGACCCCCCAAAAACGGAACTACTATGGGGCCTATGGGTAGGGCCCTGGAGTGCTTAGACCCAACGGCCTCGCATGGAATCCGCCGGTTTTGGGTGTCCCGAGGCGATCGCTACACGAACAAGCCGAGGAGTTGAAGCGCACGTGACTGGACGGGTAAGTTGGGTAGGTATCAGAAGAGAATTAGGGTTTAGGGGTTTGTCTGGGAGAGAGAGAGAGAGAGAGAGAGAGAGAGAGAGAGAGAGGGTTTAGTTTAGGGTTGAGGATGTAGCCCACAACGAACCTCCATCTCTGTGCGAGCTCTGAAAGCTCACGGCAGATCGCATGGGTGGACTTAGTAAAGGAAGATGTTTACAGCATAATTACTGGCCCACTGCAGCTCAAAAACAGGCTTGATGAAGCAGCAGCATGCCCTCCTGTTCTGTGTGTGACCGACCTAGATACCCAGGTTGCATGGACTCCATGGCGAGCGCCAGGCACGACGAGAGGGCTTTCTTGTTGTTTGGGATCGCAGGAGCTTAAGGTTTGGTGGGGAGCTGGAGTTTAGGAAAAGCATGCTCGGGCCTGGGGTGTAGTCTCGCGGTCACCGAGTAGTTGACATCTCGTGCATAAGAGATCCGCGGGTTTCGGTGTTTGGAATTCTTGAGCTTCAAGCGGTTGAAAGATAATATGTCGAAGCACGGAGCAAGTCCTCTCCCTGAGGCCCTGAGGTGTTGGGTTTGTCCTTACAGCCCCTTGCCCGCCCGAGCAAGAAGATTCTATGCCGAAAGCTTCTCTCAACCATGTCGGCTTCTATTCCTGTGATCCGAGTATCCTACATAAACCTATGTAAGCCTTGAAGAAGGTAATCATCGGATAAATACAGAGACGGTTAGCATCCCCCCTGTCGCAAGGACGACACACACAACCGCAGAAGTGTACTGAATCAGGGTCGAAAACTTGGTTTCGTCGAGTGCGAGTGACAAAAAAAGCCTAGACCCGAACAGCTCTCCACCCTAATTCAACTAAGTACACTCCACTCGCCAGGACAGAGAGGCGACGTTGCAGGATAAGCTCGTGTCCATCGAAGGCTCCTCTGCCTTCTCTGCTTTGATCTATGTCATTCCCCAAGGGTCCAAGTAATAGTATAGTAGCAAATAACTAGTAAGTACCTAGTGACATGGTACCTGCACCCTTGAGAAGATTGTTGTTGCATTGATCTAATGATTGGGAATGCTGATTGGCCCTCGTGCTTGATGTTTTTTTTAGAACTATTAATACTATTATGAGTATTCCTTGCCATTGCAGCGAGCACGACTTTCTCCTCATTGTCAATATTTGTTGCGGTTAGAGCCAGCACGCTTTTTTCTTCTCATTCTCAATATTATGTGTGCTTTATTGCTTTACTGGGCCTGCCTGCCTTTGCTAACCACCGTCAACTGCAGTTTGATTGCCAGCCCAGGGTTTAGGTTCCAAGGTCGTGCCCGAGCTTTTGGAAGAAGGCTGTTCTCCAGGCTTCAAGCTGGCTTCGTGAGGAAGCCTTACAGGAACCCGAACAGTAAGCCTTGTGGTATCCCCCAATGCTCCTGAGGCTACAAGTCCAAGCAGAAGACGCTCAAAAAGTTCAAGCTGCTCTTGGACCAGAGGCTCGCTGAGGCCGTCCGTTTCTACCAGTTCCTCCCCCATGGTCCCTCCATGCAGGAGAGAGAAGGAGACAGAGAGAGCAGGGCCGGGGACTGCCTGCTCTGATCACAGGTCTCCATCTGACTCCCACGCGACATGCAAAGGTTCAGGAAGAAGTTTGGGGCTCAGCATTGTGACACCTTGACCGACTCCGGAAGGTTTTTTGCGACCAGATTTGGCCAAGACTTGGACTTGCCTGGACGCTGACTTAAGACTGATGGGAGTCAAGAGCCAGACACCCGAAAACCCATAACGAGGCCAATAACTTGCCTCTCACATCCTCAACCCTCACCCCAGCACAGGACTGCATCAAGTTAGCGAGCCCTACACCTGACAAGGACCTTGGACACATCAATGCAACCCGCTACCCGAAACCTCAACTGATTATCAGCTACAAACAACCGACCAGTCAAACTACTATGCACCCGAAACCTCGTCTGGCTTGTCCGAGTTGCGAGAGCGTAAACCTCAAAGGTCCCATCAAGAGCCCCATAGCTGAACCCCGGACTTTGTCCTTCATTGGAAACCACTAGAAATGTCGTAAAGCCACCATGCCCGGCTTTTGCTTCGCGCAGGTGTCTACTTCGCTGCAGCCGAAAGACTCGCTGATCAAGAAACTCAACGAGGCCGCTAAAAGCGTGCTTATTCTATACTACAGGGGCCTATATGATTACATATATACTCTTCTGGGGGCTCCTTGGTTTTGGAGTATAGTTTAATATGCCCCAAAACCCTGTTCTAATTATCATAAGGCCCCTAATATAGAACCGTACTATAGATCCCTTATAGACCCCTTTAGAGCTAATTATTAAGGCCCCTAGAGTATGTTTTGAGAGAGGCGCCTGAAGAGACTGAAGCCAGCCGTCGCCGCTTGGGGTCCTTTAGATCAAGTCTGCAGATCTTACGGGGAAGCCTGTCACTCTCACTCTTTCTCGCCTTGGGAGCCTTCTCTTCTTTGAAAGGAGACACATCCTTCGAGTTCACACCGAAACCCTGAAGCCTCAAAACAGTGCCCCATGAATGAACCCACCAACCGGCGAGGACCTGAACGATCTGGAGACAGAGTTTGAGCGGCAGCTCCTCGAACAGCGGCAGCTGGAGACATTCCCTGAACCATCAATATAGTACAGTTTTCTTCTAAAATTCCCCTTCTGCGTCCTTCAGGGCTTCGTTCTTGGCCTGCTGGCCTGCTATGACGCAGTCTTCTGAGAAGTATGTGTTGGGCCTTGCAGCCCGTCACCCTCTGAACCCTAAATCTACGGTTGTCCGAGTGTGAGCGCCGAAACCGTAGATTCTATCCGCCAGGAGGCGCAGATTGTCCAGCGACGCCAGAAGGCGGGCATCCTGGCCCAAGAGACAGAGGACCGGGAAGAAAAGTCCTCGGAGGGGCTCCTTGCGAAGCTCGGGGTTTGAGGGTATACCCTTCGAGTTCTATCGGAGACTCTGAAGATGTACCTACTCTTAGGGGTACTTAGAAATATTTTTTAGTTTTTGGTTATTATATATAATCCCTAAGAAACAGCTAAAATCATTTTTTTGCTAGGGTTCTAAGTTCAGTATAATACTGTAAATGTTAGATTTTAAGAAGGGTCTTCTCGGTGTTTCCTAGGGGGCGCTGATGACTTGGCGGAAAGTGTCGTTCTCTGGATTGAACTGCAGCTTGGCTGGTACACTGTCTTTTAGCTCTGGTGACTGTTGATTTCATAATCTCCTGTGGGACACTGAAATTTTCAACATAGGTGTGAGAATGATAATACATGTACGTATACATATACACATACATGATATGCATATACGTATATAGATAGAGTCATCTTGAACATTGACGTCTCTTCAACCATGCTTGGGCCCTCCATCTGGACCGCGTCTTGAAAGTGCTGAAAGGTTCACGGTAAGCCTCACCGGGCTTCGGGGTGTCGTCGCTACGCAGTCTAAGTGGAGTTGGCATGCTTTGATGGTTGGTTCAGGGTTTATAGGGTTTCTGATCAAACCTGTTGCTCTGCATCGTACACGCAGCATTAACTTGCGCTGAAGATCGTGCTAAGCCTCATGTTTGCAAACCACCCCCAAGCCAGCACCAACATTCTTAGTTTGCGAGGACCGATGCGATTCCTCATAAGGGTCGAGGATGTTTTCTTCACATAGGGGCACCCATGGTTTGAGAAGGGTTTGGGGATAGAAGTATTTCTGGGATACAAGCCCTGAATCCTGAAGGAGCTGAAGGCCCAGGTGCGGGAGAAGGATGCGCAAATCCGCCGCTTCACCAGCGATGTGCACCATCTCGTTACTGAGGAGCCGGACATGTGCTATAGCTCTCGACTCGACTGTAGAGCTTGGGACGCAAGGCTTAGAGCATCCTGCTTAAGAGCCAGAGAGGGTTTACAGAGTTCTGGGTTGGTTTGGCTTCAGTCCAGCTGTGGTGACAGTAAGCTCTTGGCAAGGCTGTGCCAGGCTAGGACGACGAGGTCGCAGGTGGCGGTCATTTGTGTGGCGCAGATGGTCTTGGACTCTATGTCGACATCGGCATGTATTGGCGGTCAAAGGTAGATAGAGACCTTGACTAGATGCACAGATAGGTAGATGAGCAAATACAGCTCCAGAAGGGAAGTGCACAGATGTAGACACTTCAGAATGTGCATGCGCAAAAGAGGATGCCTCTGCACACAAAGGTCCGCATACGCAGTGTGTGTGTGTGCATATATATGTATGTATGGACGCATGTATGTCATAGATACAAACACGCGCACACAAGTGTATAGTTTATATAAACATATACATACATTATATATATATATATATATATATACACGTACCTACATACCTACCTACATACATACACACACATACGTAAAACACAGCACATACGAGTCCCTAGAGTGCAAGTGCCTAGTATTGCTAACGAACACATGATCGTTACAGCCTAGACGCGCAAGGTCGTGTGTACTTGCATAAATGCAGTAGCGAGACGATCGTTATGTATTGTAGCGTTGTGGCGGCACACTCCAGCTGCTCTCACTACTGCGTTGACTCACCCGCCAATGCCGCAAACCCTGACAGGAGACAGATTTGTCGGTTTGGCCCCGTGAGATTCGCAGGTTACCGGGCTGGGGGCATGGAAGCGCATTTTCTGCTATTTGGAAGGGGTCTATAATCATGTTGTGCAGTTGGTTCTATCTACACGTTTATCTGGGTTTTGCAACGGATCGCTCGCCCCACGAATCTCGGCTTGTGTCATGATTCTTATGTTACGTGCTGCCAGAAAGTCGTAATCGTACTTGGTCAGGCGTCAGGCTTGCTTTAAAAAGGCCTATAGATGCGCCATCGACGCGGATTATAACCCCAAGGAAGTACCGTACGAGGAGTTCGATACAGCATGGTTGGAGTTCGGCCTCCTGAACGTGATGTGGGAACTCTGACTCCCTGGTGACAGCCGGCTTACGCTGGGCATGTTGCAAGAGGAGCACATCACCTAGAACGCCGCTATCCGCTATACCCCCATGGGAATCTCAAAGCTCTACGAGCTTCAAAGCATAGCAGCCCTAAGTCTACGTAGGATGAGCAAAGCACTCGATTGAAGTAGACAGCTCTGAATCTTCCACTCTTATACAGCCCCAAACCCAAAGCACGATCTTAACTCGAAAGGCTTTTGACATTTCATTCTCTGAACCCTGAGCTTAAGTCGGCCCCCCCAAAAAATTGAAACACCAAAGCCTAATCTCTCAACTAAACTCGGAAGGCTTTACCACCAGCATGTTGAGGGCGACCTACGTGGCCAAGGGCGACTGCCCCTCGAGGAGATCCGGCATAGCGTGCACGGTTTCAGGGTGTCAGGGCTTGTTAGGGGTTGCATGCGGTCTCGGGGTGTTGGAACTGCATGAGAACTTATAAGAACGGTTTTGCAGGGTTTGGTATATGATGGCTTTCATAAACGGCCCAGGAGCGCACCAGCAGCCCTCCATAATCTCTCGATCATCTTCGGGTTCAAAAGGGGTGCCGGGCATTGGGCAACCTGCGTGCGCTTTGTGTCATGTAGGACATGCTGCGGCAGATGCGCGTGGTGGAGAGGCAGGTAACGAGCCTCCTGGTCAGGTTGATGCAGTCCCTGCAGTCGCCTTTAGGTTTTTTGTAATAGGGTTGTCATGGGGTCAATGAGGGCTTGACACCCTGGGTTTTTCTGGCCACTGGGAGGGGCGAGCAACGAATCGTCAGCGAAGACAATCCGGCCAGTTCGTTGCAGCCACACCCCATCATTCCAATTCTCTTCTGCTAGTTTCGGCTTCGGATCTCGAAAGAGGGATGCAAAGGAGGAATGAGATCTGGTAGTGTAGGAATGTATTCTTTGTATGCCGAAGGGATCAGGGCAAGCGAGGTCTGCTTCTGCGGGGTTTCCCTAACGCTCCCGTGTCCTCACTTGCCTGGAAGAAACAGTTGTCAAAGGGTTCAGAGCTTGTTGAGGCAATCATCGGGTTTGTAGGGCTTGCCGTTGCTCGGACCAATGTTTGAGTCAATTTAGGTCTTTCGTTGTTCGGCTTCACGGAAGGCATCGGTAGCCCGGATTCGATACAGTTTCGAGAGCAGCTAAGGCTTGGCGGCCAAGGGCAACCAGATCCGGGCCATGGGCAAGCTTGACCTGCCGCTCGATCTTCCGAGAGGTTCAGTCCCTGTCTCGATCTCCGTGGGCCCCGTGGTCCTTGTTGTCTTACTGTCTGAGCCGGATGCTTTTGAATGCAGCCGGCATGCCCCAAGCTGGGTAGGCGAATGATGCTACTAGTATCAAGATTAGTGACTGCGCCGTTATATATATATATCTCATTTCTTCATGATGAGTCTTTCCAGCATTCTCATCCTCGACTTCACAACGGGATTTGCAGCTTTCAAGAACTATGGACAGATATGAGATCGCAACAAGCAAAAGGACAACCAAGTCTGTGACATGGAGTCGTTTGCGGTTGGGCTCCATGCTACCGCATGTGTGGGTGCCCTTGTCAAAACAAGCTCCTCAGGCAGACGAAGGCCAACGAGAATGCCACGCTGGTGCAGGAGCCATTCCTTTAGTCGAACTTCTGAAGGTCAGAAATAGAGCTGTGGTCTGTAGACACTGGTGAACCGCAACTCCGTGAAGCAGTCCCTGCGGTCTCGGTCACTGTCGCTGTCTCTCTCTCTCTCTCTCTCTCTCTGTCTCTCTCTCTGTTTGCTTCTCTTTCACTGCTGTTTTCTCATTATTCTATTCTGTGTGTCTCTCGCTCTCTCAGATAATAGAAACATGGGCTCAAGTTTTCAAGAACGCGGCACAGTAAGTCGCTTGGGCAGGGCTTTTCACAATGTCCATACTGTACAATGTGGAGTTTCTGATTGTTAAACGAGGCTCTTCTGTGGAGGTTGTGGTCTTGCAGAGCCTGTAGTCTTGGGTCTTCATTGGGAGCGGGCCCATGTTCTGCAACTACCCCCGTCCATATCCATATGGGTGGTTGTCAAAAGTTATGGTCCCTTTTTGGGTCCCTACTATAAGACGCCTTCCCTTATTTAGGGTACCCCAAAAGGGACCCTAATTTTGACAACCACCCATATCTCAAGGAGCTTAACCAGCTGCGGATGTTGAAGAGCTCGCTTCAGCGGAAGGTGCCTTGGCTATGCAAGGACCGAGGCTAAGTGTCGGAGGCCCTTTGAACCTTTGGTGCAGTTAGGGTTTAGGGTTTTAGGGTTTAGGGATTTACGGCGTGTGTTCGATCCTTTAGTAGCCACGAGTGCTGCTGGAGGGTTTACGCGCTGTCTTGTGCATTTTCCCGGCTGATTGCAAGAGTCCTGCATGCAAAAGGGGATTTACGGCTTAGGGTTTTTGGTGTCTGCATCCTACTATTTGGGCTTTGGATTATAAGGTCTTCTCAGCCCTTTGCAAAGTTTCGTGTGAAGGCCTGGGGATCATAAACTTGTCCGATCTCCGCGCCGAGAAGCCCAGTCATCGACAGATCGGTAGTTACGCGCGAGTCCGAAGTACAAAACCCTATACGGGCCCTAGACCCCTTAAGGACCGACCCACTAATTATAATACGATCCCTGGAAGCCTTGAGAAAAGGGCTTGAAGCATTCCCCGTAGTGTTTCTTGATTGGGACTCTTTCCCGGAACCAGCCCTATTCCAATCATTAAGGGCACTTTTCTATCCACACCCTGGAAAGCCCAAACTAGAAGAAACACCCGAGACCCGAGCCCTAAAAAGGAGTAGAAAGCCACAGACGGAGGTCCGCGACCTCTCTTCGAGGCTTTCCACCCTGGTCCCAGGGACGGACAAAGCGGCGCTCAAAGGCTCGCAGGCGCGGGCAACCCATGGTTGGACTGGTGTTCAACGGATATTGGAGTGATTCCGGCGCGCGTGTCTGCTGAGTTCAAACCGCAGTTTCGGGTGTCCTAAACTCCTAAACTCTTAGTGGAATGCAGGTGTAAGCCACCTAAGCTCAATCCAGCTGCATAGAATTGTAGGATCGTTTTGTCCTTCAGTCTGCCAGAACGCAATGGCCCTTGACCCTATTGCTCCCAAAAGCCCTAAACCCGAAACCGCAGCAGTAGTCCACTGTTCTCGGAGTTCCCCTCCAATGCGGGGCTCGTCCTTGCCAGCAAAACCGCCCGCCACGAAGAGGCGACCGCGCAGCTTCCGTCTCCACCTCCGGCGAAGGGGGCCGTGAAGGGGCCTCCATCTGGTCTTCCGGGCCCGCGCCAGCGCCTAGGGCCTCGGTAAGAGGGCTTTGGGGGTTGGGGTGTTTGGTAATTATTGGGCTTTAGGAGTTGGGGACGTTGCGTTTGTTTCAGGGCCAGTGTTCACGGTTTCGGTCGCCTAGCATATCGAGGTTAAGGCTAAGTATTGATATTTAAGGACGTTTCAAGCACCTCAGAGCTGTGGGTGCATGTCATGAGGCTGCATGGACAGAAGTTGAAGGCACTGCAGACAAGTTGAGGCCACACCCGGTGCTCCAAGCCAGGTCATTAATGTAGGGATCTCACTCTAAAGACCAGGTAGTTATTGTATTACCTAGAGATCCTCATGCATTCTAAACGTCCTCTTCAGGTACCCCAAACCCCAATGTCAGTATTAAGGTCCCGAAATTAGGTTGTTTTGCCGGCTGTGCTTAGGAACACCTCATCCAGGGAGCTGCTAGAGGATGCTCCATCGCCCGTCCTGAAGCAGCCGGTGCAGCTCGCGCCGGTCGAGTCGTCCTCGTAATGGCTTCCGTTGCATCTGCCTTTGGAGCTTGGGATTCGCTGTCTCCTTTCCTCATGCACCTTGCTTTTCTGTCTTCAGTGCGCGAGCCTCTAAGACAAGGGCATGCAATCTTGCACATTGCCCAATAAATCTGTTCAGCGCGATGCCCAAAATCCCTCAGTCTCACAGCGCAGCTCGCAGAATAGCTGCGAGTTGCGCTACTGGCACGCTTTATTTCGTAGAATTCGACTAGTAGACCTCGCCATGGCATTGTCCACTTAAGCAGAGGAAGCAAGGCTTGAATTCTGCAGCACTTGTGGCAGCCTATACTATAGGTTGATGTCAAGCTGAGATGAGTTGCAGCTGCTGGCTGTGGCGGATTCTTTCTTTCATTGGCTCAAGAATCCGTAATCTCAAGTCAATGACGGTAGAATGCCAGACAGGCTAGATACCTCCAGCACCAGAGCGCCGCACCCTAGACAGACCCTTGCGGAGGGAATAGCTGTCGTCCCAGATATCTTAGTTTTTCGCACGCACAGACTCAGAGATACTCGAGCATGGCCAAAAAGGGCCGCAGCTTGAGACACGAGATGTGCCGCTGAGGACCGCCTGACGAGCCCGAAGTGTTGGTAATATAGGGGCTTAGATAATTACCAACACTATTTTGGTGGCCCCTTATTATTATAGTATAGTGGGCCCCCAAACCCTATTCTAATTATTAAGGCTCCTATACTGGGGTGCTGTTAGTGATATTGCCTGATTGTTTGTGTTCTGGGCACATTCATAAAAGTTATGTTATTTGGTGGGTTCAAGGTGGACAAATATGTGTAATTATGTGTCTGATATTATCGTGATAAGTAATATGATATTGTTATGATAATACCTCGCTGTTGCCGCAACATTTGGCTGAAGTAGGCGGCCATGGGAGGCCGAACCCTGACCCTAAATCCATAAACCTTACACCGCACCCACAATAAGAAACATACCCGTACCCCAAACACCACGTCTACTTACTACTACTACTACTACTACTACTACTACTACTACTACTACTACTACTACTACTACTACTACTACTACGATGACGACTACTACTACGACTACTAGGACCGCAACTACCACTACGACCACTACGACTACTACTGCTGCCGCTACCACTCCTACTATTGCTACTGCTACTGCTATTACTACTACTTACAACAACTGTGGCTTCGGTGTCGCACCTGGCTGATCTAAGAGCTCATTTTAGGCTCCAGCTTCCGTTGGCAGCACACCATTAACCGGCCCGGATGTGCAAGTTCAGACAAGGTTCTTGTGTGGAGATCCCGGGAGACTGATCTAATTTTATGCATACAAACCTTGGTAATCCAGATGCACTTTGTGATATTGCTGATCGAAGCCTAGGGTGTAACGCACCCTACCCTTAGAGCGGTCGGTGTCGCTCCTTTTTGATCTAAACCTCACCCCTGGAAACGGAGAGCATGCATACGAGGGCTGATCTAAGGCCAAGCATATAAAAACAAATGCATTTAGTGATGTTGCAGGTAGGTTTAGATCAGGCGGTGTCGCCCCTGGCCTTCGAGCAGCAATATCACTAAGTGCATTTGATTTTACACAAGCTGTAAAGTATAACTTTCGAGCGCTCGGTGTCGCTCCCGACTGATCTAAGTTCTAAGGGACTCAAAATAATAAACAAAGTAAGAAAAACAATTTCATTCCGTGTCACACCTGACTGATCTAAGATGTATTAAATCATTACAAATGATTGCATTCGGTGTCGCTCCTGACTGATGTAAGGACATTTGGTGTTGCTACTGACTGCTCTAAGATGCAATAAATATTGGTTGGCCTGGTACTTAAACCTAAGAAAACCCTCAACCTTTATTATTATGGCTGCAAACCCTATAACACTTTCAACTCTACTACACCCTTATACCCTAAAAGCTGTTGTTGTATGGCGGCTGTATTACACTCTTAACACCTTTAAACGTTGTTGTTGTATGGCGGCAGCAAAACCTACATTAATTACAAAAACATTCGAACTTTTGGTATATTGTTGTGGCTGCTAACCGTACGTTAACCCCGCAACTTCACCAAACCCTTACGCATCAACTAGCTAGCTTCGATGCAGCGAAACCTTGGGATTCAAGCGCCAGCCGTTCTTAGCAATATCACCAAGAACGCAAGCTAATAAAAAGAGTTATGCTTTAAAGAAGCACACAAACAATACCGCAATATCACTAACAGCGCCTCAGTATAGTACCCCTAAAGCTCTCGATTCATCGGAAGCTGGGATGTTGGCCAGTTCGTGTTTTGTCCCCAAGTTTGGTGCACCCGTGCCTGAACACGTCAAATTTCGCGAGGTGACGCTGACAAATGGATGGTGAAGCCACAGGAAGCATGAAAGCCTCATAACTCCCCCAGGACACTGTGAACTGCTAGAGATCGCGCTTGAGCTTGTAAAACCGTGCCGTCCAGAGAGCCCCGGAAAAAGCGAATCCCCCTAGCCTTACAGCCTGCAAGACTGCGTCGACCCTGTAAGGCCTCATCCTAATCTTGCAAAATTCAGCCCAAAGAATTGAAGCCTAAACCCCCGAACCCGCCGCCCTCGAACCTCGAAGCTAATCCCTTGTCGTAGGAGCAGTTCCTGAGCATTCCAAGCGCGACGATGGTGTCAGGCCAGGTGTATGATGGTCAGACGAACTTATTACATCTATCTGGCGCACGTATTCGCACAGAGAGAGAGAGAGAGAGAGAGAGAGAGAGAGACAGAGACAGAGACAGAGACAGAGACAGAGAGAGAGAGAGAGAGAGAGTGAGAGAGTGACCCCCCTAAACCCATAAACATCGGGGGGGCCTTCAAGGCCGAGGGGTCTCGCACGCCCCTCACGCCCCGGGGAAGAAGAAGAAGAAGAGAGAGTGAGAGAGTGAGAGAGTGAGATAGAGAGAGAGAGAGAGAGAGAGAGAGAGAGAGAGAGAGAGAGTGAGAGAGAGGGAGAGAGAGAGGGAGAGAGGGAGAGAGAGAGAGAGAGAGAGAGGGAGAGAGAGCGCGAGCCGTACTGTCCTTCAACAGAAGGGTGAACGAGAGAGCGAGTGAGAGGGCGTGAACCTCGCACAGGGGCGCGCCCCCCAACTTTTGCAACAGGAGCAGAGGCAGAGACGGAGAGAGAGAGACGGAGACGGAAACGGCGCCGAGCCACGTCGTCAGAAATGGGGTCCGCTTGATTCGGGGGAGGGAGGGGACAGGGAGGGAGGGAATAGGGCCTAGGGTCGCACTGTATTGTGGGTTTCAGGTTTTCGTGACATGGGCACCGTAGTTGCTTCAATCAGGGGTGCGGAGGTCTCTTAGCTGTGCGGCATCGGTGCAAAGCAAAGATTTGACCAACTCCCTTGATGCACTTGAGAGCGCGTGCTAGGCAAGGAGGCGCATCTGCCAAATTCTGGGGCTAGGGTGCAAATATCAAGTAGGCCAGCATCCCACTACCCTCAAACCGAAGAGCTTGATTTGAGCCCTCATGTTCGGAGGCCTAGGGACCCCATCCTTTGAACGCCAAGGCAGTATGACAAGACGACAACTCCTATACTACAAATGGTACACCTCCGACACGGCAGGACCAGAGAGCATCTCACCGGCACTCTTTTCTGCGAAGCTCAATGTGCTCTTGGTGGTGGTTCTGCTGGCCGCCCGACCGCAGAAAAAGGGGCCCTGAATAACTACCTATACTATTTTGGGGGTTCCTATTATGATAGTATCATGTAATTACTCCCAAGACCTTATTCTAGTCATTAAGGCCACATGTATCAGTTTCGAAGTCTGAGCCGGTGCTTCTCGGCGATTTGCGACGAGTTCGTGACTTCGGAAGCCCACATAACCGAGGCATCCGTAGCCTTGCATGCCCTTAGATTAGAACTCGCAAGACATGCGGCCTTGTCCGACAGAGGATTGTGTCTGCAATGGATTTGCCGACACCTTGTGGGATCCCTCGCAGTATGTCATGACGATAGTACCTTGGCAATGCTGGCTTTACCAATGTCTGGTTCAATGTGGAGGTGTTCGGGATGCGGCTCTATTGATTTCACTGTGACACAGCAGCCAGCCAAGGTGTTCTGTGCTGTACCGACACTTGGCCAAAATGTGTATGTTCGATGTTTGAATAGACATCAGCAGTAGCCCACCCACCTAAGTTCCTTCAACCCGAAACCCTAAACCCTATACCCCGTGCCTGTGAGAATCGAAATCAGTCAACTTTTCACACCGACGCCGCACCTAAGAACCTCGCCTGGCTGTGTCCGAGTTGTGAGAGCGTAAACCCTATACCCTACTCCCGTGAGCCTCGTTTTCCGTTACACCCTCTTGAACTGATATCCCTGCCGGGCCTCTCCCTGATCATCACGGCACTTGGGGTGAACCTTGAACTCCAAGAAGCTTCCCAGAGCCTCCAAAACCACTCAATTAAGGAATATTCCTTAAAATATAATGGGATCCCTAAAATGATTTAAGGTATATTCCTTAGTTAAGGGTGTTTGGAGGCTCTGGGTTAGTATGGGGCTTAGGGAACGAAGGACCTGTATTGCGCTTGCTCGGCAGTTGGTTTTTGGGCCGGAATGATTACTAAAAGTAGCCCCTTGTAGTCCCTATAACTTATAGCTGTAGACCCCTACTCCACGAATACAAGCCCCTATGACCAAAAACTATGAACCTTTCATGGAACCCTCAAAGAAGTCTTGAAACAGGAACCATATTGATCCACTCTAAGTGTTAAGCCCTGTCATGGAACCTTGAAATGAATCCTGAAAAGTCGAAGTGTTAAGCCCATGTTCCCTGAATCCTAAACCCAAAACCCTAACTATCTGCCAGGATAGCCCTGCAGCTGCTAATGTTAATCCTTTTCTTCACGCTGCTCTGGAACACCTTTCTCTTGCGCAGCTTGGCCGTCTTTAGGGGCTTAGGGCGAGAACGGAGAAATCGGTCTGTTCGGAAACCAGAAGGAGACCAAGCTAAATGCAGAGTAAACCCATAGGCCCCACAGTAGTTCCGTTTTGGGATTACCTTATCGAATTGTAACTATGACCCCCGAAAAAAAGGAACTACTATGGGGCCTATGGGTATTTTGATGAGGGCTCTTGCGAAGTGTCGAAGCGACATCTCTTGTCCCAGCGAAATTTGCGATACTACAGAGGTGCATGTGGCACAAGAATCTCCCCAAACCCCAATATGGGGGCCTAAAGAATAACCTATACTATATTGGGGGCTCCTTCCAAGTACAGCATATATCCCAAACCCTTTGCTAGTTATTAAGGCCCCTACAGTAAGTTCTCCCCCCCCCCCCCCCCCCGAACCCTCAAAAGCAGCCTACAAGAGACTCTCAGCCCCAAGCCGAGGCTATGGGCTGCTGTTGGAACTCTGGGGCGAGCTTCGGGCTGTGGTGGCCTTTTCCATCCTGCGGCCTGGGCCGAACTTTCAGCAAGGTTACCCTCGATCCCGTTTCGGATTTACGGCTCTCGAAGACCTGAGAGGTGAGATTTCAATGCTCAGGGTCTATGATCAGAGAACCACCGGCGGCTCTCACCATGCTCATCCTCAGTTCCGTAGTATAGGGAATGGTAATTCCAGATCTGGACTGTTTTGTTGCTGACTTCCTGGGATTCGTGGGGTGTCTCGGGTTCACTTTGTGGTGCTTATGACCTATAGAGTTTAGGGTACAGCGATGAAGGCGATTTGGCATTTCCTTGGCTGCCCGAGTGCCGCGGATCCTTGCTGCACTTGCGGGTGGCAGTCGCGAGGAGCATTGGGTGCTCTGGCTGCACTGAAATCCGTTTGGGGCAAAGCGACGAGATGGTTGATTCACTTCTTCTTCGCATGTGGATTGAAGGTAAGTCAAGTAAGGCTTCCTTCCGTTCATCCCCGATCTGAAGTCTGGTACGGCAGCATTGCTCAAAACTCACATGCCTACGTGATCCTACGTGTCAGCATACGCACCGCTTTTTGGCGACATGGTCTTAGCACCGGCGTCAGCAGTACCAGTTACTAGTGGTGATGGCATAAAGGCGGCGATGCTGATGAGAATGCAGAATTACCGCATTATGTAGATGCCACCGAGTGCCGATTCCATGTCCGAGGCGAACCCCATGAACCAGACGGCGTCCCGGCAAGGTGATAGAAAGGCCGAAACCCTTGATGCAGGTGTAGCTGGCTGATCTCGGTTCTCAGGCTTTCTGCGCCAACAACGTCGTCTCTGTGATCTACTGCTCTTGGCTCTTGCGGCGGAGCTATTCCCTGGCCGATGTACGCTTCTACAAGCCACAGTGGTGACCCAAGAGACTACCTTGGGCTTTCGGAATGATCTCGCTTCGATGAGGCTAGGCTCTCGCAAGGCTTCATAGCAACAGCTGGCAATGTCCCCAAAGTGTAATGAATCCCTGTCCCTGTGGTGAATTGGAGATTAGGCTTTAGGGGCCGAAGGTTTAGAGTTTTGAGCTCGCTCAAATATTTGAGGTTGTGGCAGAAACACCACGGAAGAAGAGGACAAGCCCTGACGCTCCCCGGCGATTCCGCGGCGACTTAGAGCTCGGTGCGAGAAATACCCAGTGTTCTAATACTTGTGTATAACTCTGTATAACATATCTCTCTCTATAGGTTATATATAAATTTACATATATATATATATATATATATATGGATACACATCAACAGGCATACTGTAGGGTTTGGGATGTATCTGAAACCCCCTTATACAGCAAACTAAAACACACTCAAACATGCCGTGCCATGCCAGACCATGCCATGCCATACCGCGCCATGCCAAACAGGATACAGTCATGTGAGCACCTGAAACCAGAGTTTTTGTATGCATGTTGAAATTCAATCGCTATTTTCGGGGACGGAGAAGTAAATCCACGGATCAGTGGACGAACGGATACATGCCTCATCGGCCTTAACAGTTTACAAAAGCCGGTGTGTGTATGTGCATCTGTGTTTGTACACCTGTATGCATATGTGAACACGGCATTCATTTATTCAGCTGTTGTTCATTCCTCAGTTGTTCGACACATCATGTACTTGCTTACCAAAATCGACAGCAAGAGGCGCGTTGATCGTCGCTCCAAGCTGTGTTTTTCTTGCTCGGTACCCGCAGGGCTGCCCACTCGATCTTCAAAGCCCAGGTTGACTTGGTTTCCTCTCCAATTAAATGTTTGGTGCTTTTTAACCTTTCTTGCTCGCCGTCGCACCTGCCCAGGGCGAGGTCAGGTAGGCTCTGCTTTGTTTCACTTCCGGCTGGCAGCTAGCTGGCAGCCGCTCCAGCTGTGTATGACCGGCATGTACCGGCATGATCGTTGGGAAAGGGCCATTCTCAAAGCCAGCCATCTCGCCTGTGTACGGAGACGTGGCTCGAATGTGTACTGCAGGCCCGACCTTACTGCATAAATTGCCCAGTTTTAGCAGAGTACGGAGCTTTCGAGTCCTACAGTCCTACACCCACGTGAAAAAGAGACTCATGCCGAGTGTTTTGCACCATGGTACAGAATAGTCGGGTTGCTCATGGTGCATGGCCGGCCTGCAATGACCGGAGCGACTTCCTCCTGACCTGGCTCTCCCAAGACCTGCGGTGTTGGTTGGGAGTAGGGGTCCCTTTTACCGAAAGCTTCCCATAGCCCACGCGCATGGCAAGCTCCCCACACTCCCAGCACACGTCTGCCAGGGACACAAGACTCCTTGCTGCCGAGACAAAGCATCAGCCGGCTTTAAAAGAAAAGGTTGTTGACTGGGGCTGTACAACCTGGAGCTTTGATGCCGCCGGAAGGTTCCAAGTGGCAGCAGGTTAGTTTGAGAAGTTTATCATGTACGGCGCCTGACATGCCAATCTCTGGTGTTTGGGGCCTGAAATAAGGACATATGCATCCGCGCACATCTGGAAGCACACTGTGACGTTCGGAAGTAATATAGTAATATAGAAGCAAACATGATTAGTAATGTTACTGATTCCAATACGTATAACCGTTATTGCCAGTGTTTTCGAATACTACAACCCGCAAAACCTTGTGGTATTCTGATTACATAGACTCATGTAAACGTAGACAGCCCTGCGCCCGCAAGGCTCTTCGGCACTCGGGAAGACGTGGAGGCGGACAAACGGCTTGGACATTTCTTGGATCAGAGGCCGGCTGAAGCCGAAGGCCACAAGCCCGTAAAGCAAGCCGTAAAGAACCGTGAACCCCCGAAGCCCTGCACCGCGCAACCCTGGACCGTCAAAGACCCGACAGACCCTAAGCCGTAACACTCTAGACCCAAACCTCCTTAAGTCCAAACCGGTGCTTCCACCTCGTCAACTCGTTTCAAATCGATGGCCCTGTTCTGGGTCCTGATCATGCCGATGCCCTGCTGTCTGCACACAGCAAGGGTCTCTGAACAACAAGTTTTGGGCTTAGCAACTGCGACAGACTCACGGAAGGATGCGTCGCAACCCTACGGCGATTCCTGTTCATAGAAGACTCATCTAGCATCTTGATCCAATGCTGCATTATCGCCGGCAGATCGTGCATAAGTGCTAGCTGCAGCAAGCAGGAGATTTCCGATCTCGTCCCTGCGAATGTGTACGTCTGCCATGTGCATCTGTATTAGTATCTCTCCATATATATATATATATATATATATTATATATATATATATATGTGTGTGTGTGTGTGTGTGTGTATGATGCACACACATGTCTTTGCCTGTGCAAATGTGTGTGTGTGTGTGTATGCAATATTTTATAATCACATATGTGTATATATATATATATATATATATATATATATATATAGACATACATATTACGGCGACATACATACTTAAATACCGACATACATACGTACATGCATGCATATGCATTTATACATAGCACAGCATAGCATAGCATAGCCTACACTGCATAAAACTGCAGATTCTGCCTGAGAGTTTGACTGCCCTCTTTGGATTTTCAAGCTGCCGGCCGCTCTGATCTCGAGCATCAGGTGCACTTCCTTGGCAGCAAGTGTGAGATTATGTTGTGTCGACAGGCTTCTTGGCTCCCTGCCCCCGCCATAGCAGAACAAGCACGTACTCCGACCTGATACCGCTATGCGTTGAGTCAGTGCTCCTGCAGCCATGCCCAAAACTCATTCCTGCCAGTATTTTGGTCACCATGTCGGCCGAATTGTATATACAGACAGGGAGCAGGGAGCATTCTGCCATAGCGTGCATCCTTCGTTCCTTGCACCCTGCACCCTCTCCCAAACTCCTTCAAGAGAATCCAGCACGCAAACACGAGCTGCCCACAAACCCGAAGCTCCTCGACGACTAGACCTATAGACCTCTGAACCTACGACAGTTACCAGCACTGCATGTGCCATGCTTGTGGATCCCCCCCCCCGCCTGCGGCTGCGCAATGTGCCACATGGTCGTGGCAGTCGCCTCGGCGCATGAGGCCCGCAGTTGCCTGGCAAGAACTGCTGCTTGGCCGTTGTTTCTGCAACAAGAGACTGTCTCTACTACTGCCGCTGCTGCTGCTCCTCCTCTTCCTCCTCCTCCTCCCACCACTGTTACTCCGATCTACCCTGCAACAAAAGACTGTCTCTACTACTGCCGCTGCTGCTGCTCCTCGTCTTCCTCTTCCTCCTCCTCCCACACTATTACTCTGATCTACTGCTACTACTACTATTCCTCCTACACCTAATAACCTACACCTACTCCTACTCCTACTCCTACTCCTACTCCTACTCCTACTACTACTACTACTACTACTACTCCTACTACTACTAGCCCACCCCCGCCCCCCGTGGGCAGCCTAAACCGGGTCTATTTGGCAGCTGGAATCGTGGGTTTTGGAAGGGTTTTGGAAGTGTCGATTGAGCATTCTAGGTTATGTATAAATGTAACATGTACGGAGAATGGTCACATAGACAGGGCCTGTGTGCCCATGGACGTATAGAGCAATCAACTATTCTGAATGCATGCGACGAATCAGGTAGCACAGGATCCTCTACATGTGGATATACGCCCCGCCGATGCGTAAGTCAACATCGCACCTAGGGCGTAGACCTCGCAGTATAGGCTGATCTGGAGTTGGCAGTTTTTGTTCGCGCACGGCCAAGCTATCGATCACACCCATTCCATTACCAATCTGTTCTTGGCTGTCTTCTACCACACACACTGCGAAGCTATCGATTACGCTCAAGGGCCCCATGGCCCTATGTGGCCACGGAAGATATACATCACATTCGCAACCATTCTCGCCACAAGCTGACATGAGCTGACGTACCAACTCCGATATCAATCTGAAACTGACGGCTCTTGTTCCACACACTGCGAAGCTATCGATTGCGCTCAATGGCCCTAAATGGCAACGGAAGATAAACATCACATTCACGACCATGGTCAACACAGGTTGACATGAGCTGACGTACTTCAAAGGTCTCCGTTTACCCATCGGTCGGCAAGAAAAGAACTCCCTGTTTCTCGCTTGATCAGGGGATTGCATCCTGAGTATTTCCTTTACCTCTTCAAAAGATGGTTTGGAAACGCGCAAGAAGAAACCTCATTTCTCTCTTGGCAAGGGACAGAGATCCCGAAAAATTTCAAAAGACGGCAAAGGGCATACACTCAAGGAGAAAGGGTGGAGATTCCCCCAACCCGCAACGAAAAGACGGAGAGAGTCCCACCAAGTCATTCAGCTGATTTCGAGCAGAGAACTCTACCTCTTGGTAAGCCTCCATCCCCTCTGAAGAGAAGTGAAGGGAGCCCGCTTCTTCGTCATCGGCAAGAACTGAGTTTCTTTTCCTTTTCTGTGTCAGGAAGAGAGAGATCCCCTGGCAAGTCCTCTACCGCAGCATCTCCGAGGATCAGAGAACCCTTCCAACTTCACGAGAAATAAAGAAAACTCCGGCTGCGTCTTGGTCGACAATACGACAGAAGGCTCCTTGTAGTCCCCTCTTCCTCCTCAAGGGACAGAAGAGAGATAGCTCTCAAAAAGTGATGACAGAGCTCTTTCACTCTTCAAAACAGGAGTCTTGTCCTCCCCTCAGCCTTCAACACGACATGAGCAGCCCTCTACCTCATCCTCTGAGTTAGCTTCCGAAAGGAAAAGTCCTTTGCCTCATCCCGACAAGAAGAGACTGAGAGCTTCTTCCAGTCTAATATAATGGGACAGCAGAAAGCGCCATCTCAACAAAGCAAACAGGCCCCTCCAACTTCACGAGAAAGAAGAGGGCTCCGTTTACCTCTCGCTCGGCAAGAAGAGGCCTCCTTTCGTTCTTGATAGGGGGAGGGGATCTTGATTATTGCCATTACCTTTT